ATCAGGGACCTTTGGAGATCATATCAGTGTAAGCCCTGCTTAGCTCATCTTAGAGCAAAGAGCCAGCACCCTGATGTCCCCAGGGTGGCTGGGCAGGAGTGGCATGGGGCCAATACCCAGACCCCTTCAGCCACCAGCCCCTGGCCTGTGCCTTCCAACCCATTAGCCATTTCTTGTTGTGCCCCTTTCCAAGATACAGCCTGCAAGTGGCAGCAAGAAGTGGTGATTAGAGGCAGATCTGGACTTGGCAACAGAAATGGTTTCCCATCACCATTGTCTGAGTCTGACTTTTGCTGATGCTGTTTTGTGGATTTTTACGGTAGTGATGGTTGTTGATGCTGCCAGTTTCCCAAAAAATAATCAAGCCTCTGGCCGCATGTCTGTCGATGTAGGCATTCTTGAGTGGTGTTCAGCCACGCGGCCTGGGCAGAATTGGGCTGTGGAATTGTCAGGAACCCACTTACAGGCTTGGATGTGATTTTTGCTCTAAAGAAGCAAGTGGTGGGGAGGAGGTAGCATGACGTGTGGCGTGTGGGGCTTCCTTGCTGCCGTCACCTCTCCACTCATACGGGAATGAAGCCTTAGCCAGGAGGCCAGGCTGAGCCCTCTGCCACTCACCGAAGCCACACTCCGCAGGCCAGCAGGGGCTTGTTTCAGGTTGTGGGTTTTGGTGTGGTTTGTCAGAGGCTAATTCTGCAGAGTTGCCAAAACCAGAAGACGTCGTATGCTTGGGATGGGGGCCGTGCCACCTGTGGGAATGCTGCCCGCTCTGCAGATTGCTGCTAGAGCCAGCAACTTCACTAAGGTGGATTTTCGTCAGAGGCCTGCAGGGGCCTCCCTTTTCCCATTGTTCCTGTGCTGCAAACTGTAGGCCCCAGCAATCGTGACTGACGTTGACTCCTTGACTCCAAGAAACCGAGACCAAAGAAGCTGCTGTTCTTAGCAAGATGCGCACTGCATTCCGCAGACGGGAGGAGTCGGAGAGGCAGGGGGCTTGCTTTCAGCCTCACAGACAACAGTTGCACAGCGCCTCAAGTCCCAGAGTGACTCACCCTGTCCAGACCTTTGAGGATATCAAAGAATAAAGTGCCCAAGTCTTTCCTACCTTGGGGGAACCTGGAACTTGGAAAGGCTCCCTGTCCTAGTCTTGGTCTGTTCTGGGCCAGGTCCCAGCTTGAGCTGCCTCTGAGATTTGGGCTGTGCGGATCTCTGGAGTGAAATCTGTTTCGGTTGACCCAGGTCATGGAATGGAAACGGTGAGGCCCCAGTGGCTGTTCTGGAAGAAACAGATCTCCTGGCAAAGGCCCAGGCATCTCCCTCACTGAAATCAGGTTCCCTGCTCCTTGGACTCTGCTTTATCTCACGGTGTACAGGGGATGGCTTGGGGGCTGCTTGCTGCTCATCTGATTTTTGTCCCAGTAGTCCCTGCGTTCTTCATTCAAACCCTTCTGGGACTTCAGGTCAGAGAGCACCATCCCAGGGGTCAGGGCCTCCCCACAGAAGCCCTGCAGTGTGGTGGCATCATGGCTGGCTTGAACCAAGCAAAGGAAGGACCCTGAAGCCTTCACGCTAACCCTCCTTGAGCAGCCGCTGTTGGAAGGCCCCCTGGGCCTGGCCGCCCCCTGCCACCCAGTCCTCCCAGCTGCCATGTTTCAAAGACGCCTTTACCTCCTGCCTTTGGATTGACTGCATTTGACCATGGACTCCAGTCTGTGTAGGGAGAGAGCTGAGTAGGAGGCCTCCGCTCCGGATCGAGGTTTGTACAGGGCTCGTTTCCCCACACATGCCTGTTTCTGAAGAGGCTCCTGTCTTATTTGAAGGCCGGCCCACACCCAGCTACTTTAACATCAGCTTTATGGAAAATGTCAGGCCTTCCCCACAACTCCCGTGTAACTGGTATCACTCCCCTACTTGCTGGCTCTCGGAAACCCAGGGGAGTCCCTGTGCTCCTGAATTCTTTTCCCAGAGATGACCAGCATTTAACCAACCTAAGGGCCCAAAGGCCTTGGATAGCTGCATGGAGCTGTGGTCTAGGAGAGGGAGGGGCACCAGATGCTAGGTCAGGGGAGGGGGCAGGAGTGTCCCTCCCGTCAGTGCCTACCCACCTGTGAGGCAGCCTTCTGACGGCCTGGCCCACATTCCCCAGAACCAGGGGAGGCCTGAGGCTTCAGTTTTGCTCTGCTGCAAAATGAAGGCAGGCCCACAAGCCGACTGCACCTAGGGAGGCTGTTTAGGACAATTTCATTCCATTAAATTAAAAAATACTGACTGGCTGGCAGGCAGGTGCCACATCTGGGAACAGGGACGGGGGAGCTTCACCTTTTTGTCTTGGCTTTTCATTGGGCTGTGGGGGGGGGCATCCATTCCCAGGGTGGGGGAGGAAATACCAAATGCATTGTTGTTCTGCTCAATACATCTCACTTGTTTCTAATAAAGAAAGCAGCTGAACAAACCCTTTTGTCCTGGTATTCCTGGTCAGCAGGTGACAGTGGAAGAAACGGAGTGCTGAGGCCTAGGCTGGAGCCAGGACGACAGGGCTCGGCCACAGAGGCCCTCAAGCCCACAGCATCAGGCCAGCTTCCAAAGGCCTTCCTTTAAGGCTGCCCTTCTTCCAGGGCAAAGTTGGTGTTGTCAGACCTTTCCCACCCGCCAGAGACGAGCTGGTATTGACCCAGGTTCACTCCAAGTTAGAGCAGCAGCTGGGCTCTCAGCCAGCACCTGAGCACCTCAGTGCAGGAGCCGGCCCAGGCTTCCCCAGCTGAGCACAGAGCAGCCCCCTTGGTCCAGGTCAGCAGTGGCTCCTCCGGTGGAGGTGCAGGCCCCGCACCTTCCCACTATGCCCAGCTGTCATGTCTCTCCTCCTGCGCCATTGGCCAGGTGGTTCTTTGAGTCACTAGGGGTGCATTTTAACATGGCAAGTTGCTGGGCCCCAGTAGCTGTGTTTAAGACTTCCCATTCCCCCTGTTCTCATCCTCTGGAACTTACCCTTTCCCTGACCCCCTGATCCTTTCAGGTCCATGGCTGGTGCCTCCAAGCCCCTTTCCAGGGAAGCTGACAAGACACAGGACGTGCATGACCCCTCTAAAGCCCCCCAACCCTCCTGTCCCAAACCAAGTCACTCAGGCTCCTATGGCCCACGCCTTCTTTCCTGCCCTTAGCTTTGGACTGAGAACATAGCCCTATGTGTGGTTTCCACCCATGGGCCTCTGGGGTAAAAAGCTGTGATTTCGGGCTGGGCGCGGTGGCTCATGCCTGTAATCCCAGCACTGTTCGGGGAAGGCAGGCAGCGCAGATCAACACGATGGTCAGGAGATCGAGACCCATCCTGGGCTAACATGGTGAAACCCTGTCTCTACTGAAAAATACAAAAATTAGCCGGGCATGATGGGTGGGCACCTGTAGTCCCCAGCTACTTGGAGGCTGGGCAGGAGAAATGGTGTGAACCCAAGGGGCCAGAGCTTGCAGTGAGCCGAGATGCACCACTGCACTCAGCCTGGCGACCAGAGTGAGACCTCTGTCTCAAAAAAAAAAAAAACAAAAGCTGGTGTGATTTCCTCCTCACTTCCACTGCACAGTTCACTTCTCCTTAAGACTTCTTGCCTTTTGGCAGGTCAAGCGGCGGTGGATCACCGAGGTCAGCGAGTCTCCAAGACCAGCCCTGGCCAACCAATGTGAACCGTTCTTCTACAAAAACAACAAAATTAGCCGGCATGGTGTGCGCGGCTGTAAATCCCAGCTACTGGAGAAGCGCTGAGCAGGAGAATCCGCTTGAACCCGGGAGGGGGAGGTTACAGTGAGCAGCATTGCGGCCATCTGTACTCCAGCCTGGGGGACGAGCAAGACTTTGTCTCAAAAAAAAGACTCTTGCCCTTTCAAGGCAGCTTTCTCAGCGTTGGGCCCTCGTCCTAGCCTTCACTCCTTCCTCTTGGTACCATATACGAAACCAGAGAAGCCAAGCAGGATGGGGACCCAGACCCCCCCAGCCAGAACTGGCTCTGCAGGGGCTGGGCAATGCTAATAGCTCTTCATTTGCTAAAACTGGACTTAGCCTCTCTGTGCCTCCCATCCTGAGGCTGCAGTTTGGCAGCCTGACCTCCTGACAGCCCGGAGTGCCAGATGCCTGGGCTGCCTGGCCCGGCCCATTCCTTCTGGGCCCTTTTGATTCTGATTATCCTCTTTCAGACAGACAGATTCACCAGAGCCAAACGCCACTCCCAGCATGAAGGAGCGGGGGGCACTGCCACTTTCTGCATCAGTTCTTGGAGTTGCTAGAAGGTGGAGTCTGCCCCAGCCTTGTGTTTTGGTTTCTGCAGGGCTTGGGGCCAGTTCAAGGCCTATCCCAGCCCAGTTCCAGGCCACCCTCTGGGGACTAATGTCAAGTTCTGCCCTTGTTCAGTGCTGGCACTGTCGCCTGGCAGAACCTAAAACACCAGGCCTCCACATTGTCACCCTGACGGGGGGTGCAGGATTTTTTCCGGATTCTGTTGTCTAGTGTCCAGTGCGCTCTCCCAGCATTCCTATAGAGGCGGCCCAAGCAGTGTTTCCAGCCTTTGTGTAAAAGGCTGGCTGGCTGGAGGAAGGAAGGAAAGCCCGTGTCCTTGGGATTTGCCCTACTGAGCAGACAGGGGCCTTGAGCCCAGCTAAGCGTGGGAGTGGCAGTCTGTCTGAGGGTCCCTCAGACTCCTGTCGCCTCCTCATTCAAGGCCCCTCTGTGTGTATGTGTGTGTGTGTGTGTGTGTGTGTGCGCGCGCGCGCATCGTGGAGAGGCGCTGACCTTGTAAATTGGCATCCTCAGACAGTCTTGTGATACTCGCAGCAGCTTTAAGCCAGGAGCAGGGGTCAGGCTATTTTGAGCTGTGGCATCTCCTGCTGCCACCCCCTGGCTGTCTTAGACAAGTCCATGCCCTGTTGAGGGGAGAGGGCCAAGGGACTCATCCAGCCCTGTACCTCCTCATGGGCCTGTGGGGGTGGCAGCATAGAGGTGATCAGGGAGTGGCAGTGGTAAAATAAATGAGCTTCTTTATTTTTTAAACTAGATAGGCTCATTCTACTGTCTTCTCCAGGGCTCTTCTATGAAACAGTTACAAACCTACTGCTAGGCCGGGGCAGTGGCTCACACCTGTAATCCCAGCACTTTGGAATGTCGGGGCAGGAGGATCACTTGAGGTCAGGAGCTCGAGACCAGCCTGGGCAACATAGGGAGTCCCCCCCATCTCTACATAAAATTTAAAAATTAGCCAGGTGTGGTGGCCTGTGTCTGTAGTCCCAGCTACTCAGGAGGCTGAGATGGGAGGATCGCTTGAGCCTGGGAGTTCAAGGCTGCAGTGAGCCGTGATTGCAACACTGCACTCCAGCCTGGGCGATGGAGCGAGACCCTGTCTCAAAAAATAAAAACCAAAACCTACTGCCAGTTTCCCCAGGGCTTCATGCCTCAGCGCTCCCTTCTTGCTTTGAGAAGGGAAGGGGAACTCAGGTTCCAGAGCTGGAGGGAGGAGTCCAGGAAGGCCTAGGGTAAAGGAGGGCGTAGGGGCTAAGCCCGGGGTCCGGGCCAAGTGGGGTGGACTGTTCTCCTCTGGGGGAAGGAGGTTGGGATGGCCCACGGGAGGACAGAGGGGAACTGAGGGCCCACAGGTGTCCTGCTCCCCAAGTCTCCTGGCAGCAACAGGCTTGGCTCCTCATAAGTCACAATGAGGGGTAGGCTGAGGACAGGAGCTGGGGCCATCTCAGGGCCTCAGGGTTGGAGCTCACTGAAGTCACATGAGCACCTGTTGATTCTTCAGGAGGGGCCCAGGCAGCCCTCAGCACCCAGGTGAGACCAGCGCCTGGTGAATGGGCTGAGTGGGCCAAGTGGGTGGGCTGGGGGCTGGTACTCCCACCATCTGACTCCAGAGGAGAGGGCTCTGCAGGGGATGTGGACTGGCACTCGCAGAACCCCAGGGCGGGTGAGCTGGGCCCTCAGGGGCGCTGGATGCGGATTTGAATGAACAGCGTAGCTGGTGACAGTGAGGCCCCGTCCTTGGAAAGCAGGTGTATGTGGCGGTACCCTGTGGGGAGGACAGCCAGGCCTCAGGTCCTCTGCGTACCCTAGGGGTCTGGCCCAGCCTGGGCACGCTTCAGGGCAGGAAATTCGAGGCACAAAGGTGAACAGGGTCTGCAGGGCCTGTACCCACATCCCTCTCCATCCCCACCAGCCTCCACCAACCTTGCTTTAGGCTGCTAAGAGGCAGTGTAAACTGGCCCACAAAGTCATTGGGGGAGGTGGCGTCATAATCTTCCACCACAAACCGGACCAGCGCCAGCTCCGGAGCCCGCAGCTGGAACTGCAGGGTCTGCCCCCAGTGGGGGTTGAAGCCTAGGGCACAGGGGTGGCAGTCAGAGCCCCAGGGCCCCAGGATCCACCCTGCACCCCCCTTCGCTCTCTGCAGTCTCCCCCCGACACTTCTGCCAGCAGCTGCCCACCATTGTTGAGCACATAGTCAGTCTCCTGCCGGGCACAGTCTGCGGGCACCCCATGGATCTCAACGCGCACCAGGGGGTCCACAATGGAATGTGGCTTCTCGGCGTTCAGCTTGGGCAGCTGCTGTGCAGTCAGCACCTGTGGGGTGAGGGAGGGAGCAGCTGGGGCCCACGCCCACCTTGGCCATCCCCTGATGGGCCTCAAGCTCAGACCACCCGTCACTTCCAACCTGTCCCCAGCCCCCCTTGCCTTCCTCCACCTCACAAAGAGCCTCTCTAGAACCAGTGTGACCCCAGGCTGGGGCCCGTTCCAGCCTGCTGACCTGGATGCTGAGAGTGGTTCTGGGAGGTCCCGGGTCCTCAGGGTCAAAGGTCGAGTCAGGTTGCCGCAGGCAGGCAGGTTTCAGGACGTAGCCACACTGCCCATTGACCAGGAAGCGGCCGGCATTGAGGTCCATCTCGTAGCCTGGCGTCTGGAAGTTCAAGGCCACTGTGGACACAGCAGGGTCAGAGCGGGGGCTCTTAGCGGCCCTGTTCTCACTACTCAGTTTCAGGGGACTGCATTCCTCTCTACAAAGGGCCTGGGGTCCCACTGTCTGCTCAGTGCTGCTCTGCCCCCACCATGACTTTAGGGGAGAGGGTCATGGACTCAGCCTCCACTGTCACCTGTACTTCCGCCCTGGGATCCCTCCAGGCTGGAAGGTGCTGGAAAAGCCCCCACCCTCAGGGCCAGGCTTGGGTCAGAGCCAGGGGTCTGAGGAAGCCTGGGCTTGTTTCCACCCTTACCCCAAGGAGACGATACGGCCTCCTTTGGTGGGGCTCAGCGTCCCCCAGAGCCCACCCTTCTCAGTGTTGACTTAGTGGGACTGCCAGGTGTGTGGGGGTTGTGTGTGTCCAGGGAACATGGGAGTGGAGGTTTTAATTTCTACCATCATAAAAATGCGAGACCTGTACACTGTCAAGAATAAGCGAGCCTGATTTGATTTTCCCACCTACATTGCTGGCAACTTTAAAAATAATCAACAAAATGCGTGTTTCTACCGTCTGGAAGGCTGTGTGGGCCCTCACTGCTGAGGCCTCTCCCACACTGTGGCACCCCGCCTGCTCCCGCTCATGTGGCCCCCACTCACCCAGCTGACAGCCCGAGTTCCACATCTCCTGGGGACTATAGTTGGCCGAGTTCATTCGCAGCCCCAGCGGGTACACGCGGGTCAGCTGGCGGGCATTGTGCCTGACGAAGCTGTTCCCTGGGGCAGAGTTGGGGTGAGACTGTGACAGACCCCGGGGGTCCCTCACCCAAAGCCCCGGCCTATAACCTCCAGGGAACAGAGGCCAAGCCCATCCCCAGCTCACCCTGCCCCTGCTCCTCACTCTCTTCTGACCTAGGCTGAGAGGGGAGCTCACTGAGGAGGCTGCAGGGATCCCCTCCACTCACACAGCCTGGCTCCACATCCCCGGCCCCCAGTTCCCTGCTCCTGACAAAGTTCCAACCAAGTACAGTGAATGCCCACAGCCCTCCAGCTCCACCGTGGCTCCTGGAACTCTTCTCCAGGCCAAGCTTCCAGGCCTTCAACAGCCTGTTCCTCCTGTCTGGAAAGCCCTCCCGCCTCTTCTCCTGGCTGCTTCCTAGTCCTCCAGGTGATGTGTCTTCTCAGCATCACCTGACCCAGGAATTCCTCCCCAGTGTCGCAGCAGCGGCTGGGCTCCCCCAACCCCCAGCCCAGCCTGGCCCATCTCCCTCTATGGCCGGCCCCACCACAGGCCTCTGAAGGCAGACAGCAGGCCGCCCTCAGCTTGCCACTCTCCCCTCCATCCACCCTGGCATGTGCAGGGCCCTCATTCCCTCAGCCCAGCCCCTCTCTGGGGTCCTCTTGACCTCTTTATTGTCCCCCAAAGCCCCCTCAACTCCTTTCCAGGCCCCCTTCAGGAGGTGCCCCATCGCCCTCTCGCCCCAGACACCCAGTGCCCTGGCTCCTACCTGCTTCCCGGATGAGTTTCTTGGCTTTGCGCTCGCTGAGGGAGCTGACCTGGCAGGGCTGCGGGGCGTCGGGGGCAGGGTGCAGGGTCCGCAGGCGGGTGGCGTGGCAGTACACGACCAGGGCCGACAGCTCCGGGGAGATCTGCTTAGCCTAGGAGACCAGCCTCAGCAGGGCTCAGCTGGCCCACGCTCCCCACACCCGTCCTCCCACCTTCCCCCGCTTCCCCACCCCACCGACCCCAGCCCACCAGCTCTCACCAGCCGCCTCTGTGCTGCAGTCTCCGCCTCCTCTTCTTCCTCTTCGTCATCGTCCTCCTCCTCCTCCCTGTCCGACAGAGCCCGGCCATCCTCGCTCCGAGCAGCAGGCAGCTTCTTCCCCTTCACCAGGACCCGGCCCTTCAGCTGCTGTGGGGGCCAATGTGGAGGATGAAGGGTTAGGCCTTCTCACCCCTGTGGTGGCCGGTCAGTCAGTTATTCAACCACCACCGTGTGAAGGGCTGGCTGGGGGTGGGAGGCAGGAAAGGAGACACAGAGATGAGTGTCTAATAGGAAAGAGTGGAGAACGGCCTAGGAAGCCATCAGGAAGGGATGCTTAGTAAGGTCCCTCAACATCAGAATATACACAGCAGCCACTATGATGCACGCGACAGCTCAGAACTGAAAGGGAAGCGACCCTCTTCAAAAAAGATCTTACTTTTTTGAAGTGAGACTACAACGTGGAAGAAGTGGGGCTACAACGTGGAAGAAGTGGGGCTACAACGTGGAAGAAGTGGGGCTACAACGTGGAAGAAGTGGGGCTACAACAGAAGTGGGGCTACAACGTGGAAGAAGTGGGGCTACAACGTGGAAGAAGTGGGGCTACAACGTGGAAGAAGTGGGGCTACAACGTGGAAGAAGTGAGGCTACAACCTGGAATCACACAGTCCTTTTTTGGTACCATTTAAAAGAGAAGACAGTACACACATGTGCACAGGTAATGTGTGTGGGGAAATTCTCGAAGCACACGCAAGAAAGTTGGAGATGGTTACTTCTTGTGAAAGAGGACAGGTCAGGGGAGGAAGGGAAGCACCGTTCATTGTGTCCCTTGGTACAGCTCAGTTTTCTTTTACCATATGGGTGTGACTGTCATACTAGTAACAAAAATCACGTCTCACACACACACGAGGGTGAGTCAACCCTGCCTGCATGTTGGGGATTGGAAGTAGGAGGGGAGTTTTCTCAAGGAGCCCGACAGGATAAACGTCTGGAGAGGGCCGAGGATGCACTCTGCGGTCTGGGGGAGAGCAGCAGGCTGCCTCAGACCTAAGAGTTGGGGAAGTGGATAAGGCCACGGAAGAGGCGGCTGAAGTTGAGCTGAATTCTAAGCAGGTGATGCTTGGCAAGTGTGGATGGCTGGGAAGGGACTTCCAGGTGGAGAAACTGTCAAATGGGGCCTTGCAGGAGGGAATGGCAGAGCCTGCAGGACTCTACCAGCAGGGACACAGGGCCAGCAGGGCAGAGCCAGGTCATGGAAGAGGGTGTGTGTGGGGGGGGTCTAGTCGAGAATGGAGAGCCAGAGGGCAGCAGAAGGACAAGACCAGGGGGTGGCAGATGTCAGATGAACAGAGGAACGGAGAAAGGTTAAGGCAGGGAGAGGTGAGGGGTCCCGAGCCAGAGAGGTGGCACAAGCAGTTGGGGGAGGCGGACTCCCACCAGACCTCCCTCCATCCAGGCTGGGGGCTGGGGTGCATCACCTCTGGGGAAGGCAGCTCCTCAGGATTTGGGGAGTCCAGCGCCTGTGTCACCAGCATGTCCCCTAGGATGGTGCGGAGGTGGCGGGCCATGGCAGCCTGCTGCTCCAGCCCGCAGTGGTTCTCCAGGGATAGGATGACAGGGTAGGGGGACAGCTGTGTGGGGAAGGGCAGTGGCTCAGAGCCACTCCCCTCCCTCTGCCAGTACCTCCCAACATCTGGCTCCCAGACCCTTCAGGACAAGCAGGACAAGCAGGCAAAGCAGGGCTCTGGAGAACCCAGGGAAGGGCTAGACTGTCCAGGAGGCTGAGGGAGGCTGCAGGAATGATTTTTTTTTTCTTTGAGATGGAGTGTTGCTCTGTCACCCAGGCTGGAGTGCAGTGATGCAATTTCAGCTCACTACAACTCCGGAGTAGCTGGGATTGCGGGCACCCGCCACCACACCCAGCTAATTTTTGTATTTTTAGTAGAGACGGGGTTTCACCATGTTGGCCAGGCTGGTCTCAAACTCCTGACCTCAGGTGATCTGCCCACCTCAGCCTCCCAAAGTGCTGGGATTACAGGTGGGAGCCACCACGCCCGGCCAATTTTTGTTGTTTATGCTTTGGTCTAGCTCCATCATCCAGGCTGAAGTGCAGTGGCGCAGTCAGTATCCCCGCATTCTCCAGTCCTGAGCTCAAGTGATCCTCCCACCTCAGCCTCCTGAGTAACTCAGCCTACAGGCACATGCCCCCACACTCAGCTAATTTTTATTTTTGTTGAGACAGGATACAGCTATTTGCTCAGGCTGGTCTGGAATTCCTGGCCTCAAGTGATCCTTGCATCAGCCTCCCAGAGTGCTGGGAATACAGGTGTGAGCCACCACACCTGGTCCCATAAATGCTTTTTACATGTGAATGACATTGACCATGTCAATGATGTTGAAAACTCTCCTGCCATCATTTGCTGATGGGAAGATCTGCACACTGTGACCGAAGCTGCAGTTTATGTAGGTGTCACTGGTGAGCTTCTCTTACAGCTTATTCTTTGGAAGTCATGATTCAAATGTCCTTCCCAGCCGGGCGCGGTGGCTCAAGCCTGTAATCCCAGCACTTTGGGAGGCCAAGACGGGCGGATCACAAGGTCATGAGATCGAGACCATCCTGGCTAACACGGTGAAACCCCGTCTCTACTAAAAAATACAAAAAACTAGCCGGGCGAGGTGGCAGGCGCCTACAGCCCCAGCTATCGGGAGGCTGAGGCAGGAGAATGGTGTGAACCCGGGAGGCGGAGCTTGCAGTGAGCTGAGATCCGGCCACTGCACTCCAGCCTGGGCGACAGAGCGAGACTCGTCTCAAAAAAAAAAAAAAGTCCTTCCCTCCCTCAAAGGACTGGACACTCTGTGATTTTAAGACATTTTCCAAATATGAGAGGGAACATATTTCCCAAATATGAGAGTGGCATCTCATTCAGCTTTATTCCACCCCATTGGCCACTTATCCCAGCAGCACTTGGTGAATGAATGATTCTCTGGGCAAGGGTTTCCCCTGGAAGGACTGAGCGCAGCTGGCACGTGGGTGTGGACGGAGGTCATTGCGAAGGCTGTGGGGCTGGGGCTGGGCATCCCAGGGGCTCACCGTGAAGGCATGGTCACGCACGGCTTGGACCACATCCCGGAAGAGAATCTTGGAGGTGAGAGTATGTCCGTGATAGATGATGGGCTCCCCTCCTGGCCCCTCCCAGCAGTCCAGCTCCACGCAGCGGCATCCCTGGGCAAAGGCCCTGTGGGTGGACAGATGGGTGGACGGGCAAGGTGTTGGGAGAGTGCCACAGAGCAGGGCAGCAGGCAGGCTGAGCCAGGAAGGCCCCAGGAAGCCAGCCCCATGTCTCTCTCCAGGTGGGGCTCCCGGGCACATTCACCCCCTACTACAGTACCTAATGTAGGCCTCGGTGCTGCTGGGCCCCCCAATCTGGGAGTCGGTCAGATAGGTGTTGTGGGAGGAAGAGATGAAGTAGTGGGCGAGGGGCTGGTTCATGTCCTGGAACACACACGTGTGGGTGGTGTCCAAGGCAGCCCCCTCCGGCGACAACAGGTACATCATGAAGCCATCCAGTGTCATCAGCTCGTGCTGCTTGGCTGCAGGGGTGGCAGGAGAGGGCATCAGGCCACATGGGGATCCCCCATGTCCAGCTTTCAATGCCCCCAAGGCCCACTCAACTTAGGAATAGACTAGACAATCTACTGACTAGACTCTGTAAGTCATGCCACTTAACCTTCGACCAGACCCTGGGAGGAAGGCACGCTGTTGTGCCATTTTACACATGTGGAAGCTGAGTCTGGAGGAGGCAAGCTAACCTGGCCGAGACAGTGCCCGCAGCCAGCCCGCAGCAGAACCCACTCAGTTGGGAACACAGCCCTGTCAGGTGCCACGACCTGGCCGTGCCGCCCCCCACCTGTCTCGTTGAGCTCGTAGGTCTGAATGAGCTGCTGGGCGCGGGCCAGCGTGGCGCCCTCCTCGCCCTGGTCCTCCAGGAACTCCAGCAGCTCAGGGGCACTCAGCACGCGGTCCTCGCCCGAGTACTGATGGAAGATCTCCTCCAGCTCCGGCCGCTTCAGCAGCCGCCGCAGGAACTCCTCAATCTCAGCCCCCTCTAGACGGTCATTGTTGGAGTGGTCACACTCCTGGGGAGCAGAGGGAGAAGCTCAGAGGAGGCAGACACTCCAGGAAACCTGGCCCCTTTAACCCATCTGTCATCTACCACATCTGAGAAGGCAACGTTCCCCATTTCACAGGTGGAAAAACAGAGTAAGACTTGTGACTCCAGCTCTGTTTGTTTTTTGGGTTTTTTGTTTGTTTGGTCTTGCTCTGTTACCCAGGCTGGAGTGCAGTGGCATGATCATAGCTCACTGCAGCTTCCAACGTGTGATCTCAAGTGATCCTCCCACCTCAGCCTTCCAAATAGCTGGACAGCTGGGACCACAGGTGTGTACCACTGCACCTGGCTAATTTTTGTATTTTTTGTAGAGATGGGGTCTTGCTATGTTGCCCAAGCTGATCTCAAACTCCTGGCTTCAAGCAGTCCTCCCGCCTAGGCTTCCCAAAGTGCTGGGATGACAGGGGTGAGCCACTAAGCCTGGCCTGCAGGGCTGGACTTTAAGGGAGGTCTCTCTGGTTCTATGCCTGCCCCTCTGCACCATGACCTACCCCAAGAATCAAGATGTGGAAGGAAAAATGGTGATCCTGGGCCAAGACAGGACCCCTGGGCCCTCACACTCCCCTAGGTGGACATGTTACTATGTTACTATGCTGACATGCACATATTCACACCCAGGGTCACTGAACAAGTCAATGAGAATTCATGGAGCATCCCTGTGAAGCTGTGGCCCAGGGGTCCAGCTGCCATGGGCTCTCCTGTCTTTCGGAGTTACAGGTGGGTCCCATTGTCCACATGCACACAGAGGTCTGCCAGGGGCTCCAGCTGGGCCGTAGCTGCAGAGCCCACTCCTGTGTGCCACTGTGCTCCCATGCATGAGGTGCCAACACGTGCCACAGTGGAGGGTCTGCGTGGAGAAGGGTGCACACATGTATCTGTGCACATGCACGCCTGTAGGCTGGCTCCTGCCTGTGCCCCCACATGCAAAAGGTGCCCTGCAGACTCAGGGAAATGAGAATAGCTTTGCTGCTCACTTTGGAGGGGTAGGAACTGAGGGGGAGGAAAGTTCTGGGCCCTGGCTCCCCACTCCCTTCCTGGCCCAGTGGCCTCAGGGGAGGCCAAAGGCTAACTAAACCCAGATGTTGCCTTTATGCAGGGAAAGGCTGCTTCTCCAAAAAAGCTGCAGGTGGAGAGGGCAGGGGAGCTGATGACTCAGACGGCTGGGGGCAGGCAGAGGTCAGAGTGATGGCAAAGCCAGGGGCTGGGGTTCAGGGCTGAAGCCCACCTTGAAGAGGAGGTAGGCGTACATGTCGTTCATGTCCACGTTGACCATTCTCAGCAGGCTCTTGATCTCCTTGAAGCTCATCTTGCTGTCCTGGTTGGAGTCAGCCCGGTGCAGATAGGAGTGGATCCAGGTGTGGGTGCTCAGGAAATAACAGTAACACACCAGGCTGCTCCCAGCCCCCAGGTAACTGGCCGGTAAGTCATCCCCACCTGGATCTGGGGGCTCCCTGGTTTAGGGGCTGTACTTTCCCCTTGGCCTGTGGACTCCCCCAGCACGGTAGCAGTGTCTCCTCCGCAGGACTGGGGCTCACCAAAGACAGGAGGCCCTGTCTCCAGCCTCAGAAGGCCTCAGGCCTCCCTGAAGGAGGGGCCGCGCCACCCCTCCTGGTGGGAGCTCGGACCTAGCCAGGGCACGTGTCCCCACTCTGTTTCAAAGACCTAGGGCTCCGATCCAGACTGTGCGCCCTCAGGACAGGGGCCCTGCCTCCCCTGGGCCCGGGAGCTCTCCAAGGATGGGGCCCTCCCTGGGGCCCTCCCTCCCAGCCCCGGCAGGATATTGGTCCAGCCGCTCGCGCTGGCTCATGGCGTCCAGGCGCGCGCGGAGCTTGGTCAGACCGCGCACCCAGCGCTGCGCTTCCTCAGCCGTGGGCGCCGCCAGGTCCAGGTTCTTGCGGCGGCCCTTGAAGGCGATGGTGAGGCAGCGCGCCGGGGCGAAGGCACCCCCGAAGCGCCGCAGGCCCTCGGACTGGTGGCCCTCGCGGACTGCCTCAATGTGCTGCACAAAGACTGCGGGTAGGGCCGGGTCAGGGCGGAGGACCCGGCCTGTCCCCACCTCCCTGCCCACCCGGCGCTCCCCGGCCTCTCACAGATGTGCTGCGACGGCGCGCGCGGGATGCGCCGCTGGAACCACACGCTCAGGCCGTCCTCCTGCAGCCGGTACAGCCGCTCCTTGTGCCACGTGCGCGAGCGGATCTTGCGGAGCCGGGAGCCCAGCAGCATGGCGCGCACGTCCTCGTCCTCCGTCAGGCCTGCCGAGGCGGGAGGACCCGGGTTTCAGGCCGTCCCTGCCCGGAAGCTCCCCCTGCTGCCCCTTCCTCCAGCCTCTCCAAACCCAGGCCTTCGCTCCACAGCGAGCTTCCCTGCCCCTCGCAGGCCTCCCCTCCTCCCCGATTGTAAGAAGCCTCCTGCACTGGGTTTGGCTTTAGGCTTTGGATCGTTAAGCGTCCCCCAACCCCCACCCGTACCCCATCTCCCTCCTTCCTTCCAAGCAGCTGCCTCTGCTGTCCCTCAGTGTGGAACTGTCCTCGGGCAATGCCTGGGACTCAGGCCTCACTAAAGGTTGTCCTTTCTGGCCAGGTGCGGTGGCTCACGCCTGTAATCTCAGCACTTGGGAGGCCGAGGAGGGCGGATCACTTGAGGTCGGGAGTTCGAGACCAGCCTGGCCAACATGATGAAACCCCATCTCTACTAAAAATACAAAATAAGCCCAGTGTGGTGGCACATGCCTGTAATCCCAGCTACTTGGGAGGCTGAGGCAGGAGAATTGCTTGAACCCAGGAGGCAGAGGTTGCAATGAGCCAAGATCGTGCCACTGCACTGAAGCCTAAGCAACAGAGTGAGACTGAGTCTTAAAAAAAAAAAAAAAAAAAGTTGCCCTTCTGCCACTATCCCCCACCACATGGCTTCCAGCCATCAAGTTCAGAATTTGCCACCAACAGCCTTTTTCCCTTGATGTGAAACCACAGCCATCAGGAAGGTCTCACCATCTAACCTAGATCTCTCTTGCTGTAACCCAAGCACCTTGCCTCTGCTTTCCCAAAGACAAGGAGGACAGCAGAGGCCACCCTAGCCCCAGGGTCACAGGCCAAGGACTCCAGGATCAGCCCTGCCCGGCTGATCTCCAGGTGCCCTCTTTGTGCCTGGTGGGGCCCTGCCAAAAGGAAGGTGTCCTGTGACATTTGGTGCTCCCTCTTGCCCAGCCAATGCCACCCACCACATGACCCTTCAGCCCACATGCACTCTGCAGCCACAGTGTCCACCTTCCTCAATAAAAGCAAATGTTGGCTGGGTACAGTGTCTCATGCCTGTAATCCCAGGTACTCAAGAGGCCAAGATGGGAGGATCGCTTGGAGCCAGGAACTGGAGAACAGCCTGGGCAACAATGCGAGACCCTATCTCTACAAAAAAAAAAAAAAAAAAAATTTTTTTTTTTTTGAGACGGAGTCTTGCTCTGTTACCCAGGCTGGAGTGCAAGTAGTGCAATCTCGGCTCACTGCAACCTCCACCTCTGGGTTCAAGCAATTCTCCTGCCTCAGCCTCCCAAGTAGCTGGGACTACAGGCACGTACCACTATGCCCCAGCTAATTTTTGTAGTTTTAGTAGAGACAGGGTTTCACCATGTTGGCCAGGATGCTCTTGATCTCCTGACCTCATGATCTGCCCTCCTCGGCCTCCCAAAGTGTTGGGATTATAGGCGTGAGCCACCGTACCTGGCCTCTAGAAAAAATTTTAAAGTTGGTGGTTCGTGCTTGTAATCCCAGCACTTTGGGAGGACAAGGTGGGCGGATCACTTGAGGACAGGAGTTCAAGCCCAGCATGGCCAACATAGTGAAACCTCATCTCTACTAAAAATACAAAAAAAATTAGCCGGGCATGGTGTCATGCACCTGTAATCCCAGCTACTCGGGAGGCTGAGGCATGAAAATCACTTGAATCCGGGAGGCGGAGGTTGCAGTGAGCTGAGATTACGCCACCGCACTCCAGCTTGGGCAACAGAGTGAGACTCTGTCTCTAAAATATAAATAAATAAAAGCACCTCCTGTATGCAGGCCCTGCTCATGTATTAACAGACAAGGAAACTGAGGCTCAGGGAAGCTTAAGTAAGTTGTCAGAATTCCATATTGGTAGAAGCCACTCTGGGCCGGGCTCCAGCACCTCTGCCCTTGGGCCCTGCACTGCATGGCTCTTCTAGTGCTTCTAAATTCAGAAGTCTGGGGAATAAGTCTCAACTCTGTCACTTCCCAGCTATTTAATACATAGCCCCGGTGGCACTAACCTGGCACTAAGCCTCATGTTCTCCATCCATAAAATGGAGACCACAATCATACCTGCTGCAAAATCCAAAATTCAGAGGTTTCTACAGCGTGACCGACACTGTACCCCAGAGAGTTTTGGCCTTCCTCTGGCTCTGGCCCCCTGGAACACGTGATGCCCAGCCCAGATGGTGCCACACCCTGCTCTACAATGCCTCAATGAGAGTCACAGCCAAAGATTTTTGAGCCATGGGACATTAGAGGAGGTGGGAACTGGGTAAACGGAGAGTCCATGGCCTTTGGAGGTGGGGCACAGCCCAGAGTGAATGAGGGCCCAGAGTTTCCAGAGAACCGGAATCTAGATCTGTGTGTGAAGCCTCCAGATATTCTAATGTTGGCAACGAAATCAAATTGAAAAAGACAAAAACCAATAACCCCTGTATGGGCCAAAAGAAGTATGACAGTGGGCCTCTCTTCCTCCCTTTATTTCAACAGACCCTTAATACTGGGTTTGGCTTTGCGACCCCAAGGCCCTTGCTTGCCCAGTTGCAAACTCTGACCTAAGGAATTGAGTCTATATCTCTGGACCATCTCCTTTCACCCTCTCTTGGACCCTTTTGTAGGATCCTTCTCCCTTCTCTTCCTCCTATCTGAGTCCTTGAAGGACCAGTTCAGATGTCACCTCCTCCAGGAAGCTTTCCTTGATTTGTCCTCAAGTGGGCGTTCTCCCTCTCTGACCACTAACAGCACTTTTTGCTTTAATTAAAACACAAAACCCACCTATAAACTTTAATAAATCTGAGGCCAGAGTGAGGCCTTATCTCCTCACCACAGTGCTCATCCCAGAGCCAGGCTCCCAGCTAGTGTTGACTGAAGGGGCAGGCAGGTAGACAGGCAGATGGGGGGACTGAGGGAATTCTACCCCAGCTCTGCCCCATCTGTCCGGAGTTCAGGGCAAAGGCCTGGCAGGTCAGGGTTTCTCAACCTTAGCTGTGCATCGGAATTACCCGGGGGAGGCTGCAGACACCATGGCCCAGGGCATCTCACCCAGCTGGTGTGGGATGGGGCCTGGGCATCTGTATTTTTAAAAACCACTCGGACCATGACTGAAAATCAGGGTCTCAGGGGCAAGAGGAGAAATCCACCTCCTTAAGAGGCCATGACCCCTCTGGGGCCAGCCTGTGGCCCTAACGGCTCTAGAGGGTCCCTCAGGGTCTAGACTGTGGCCCTCTGAGTGAATGCCCACTTGGTGCCCCCTGGTCAGGAAGGGGAAAGTGGAACCCTCCTCTCCAGACAAAGAACTGGGCATACATGGCATGTGCCAGGCCGAGGGGCTCACCAGACCCCCCCCCCAACCCACCAGGTCTAGGTAGCCTCTAAATGGTCCCATCCTGAACAATGACAGGGTAAGGGCAGAACGGTTAGGGGGAGCCTGCAGTGCCACCACACTTAGGCACACCCTCCTACACCCCCTCCACCGTGGGAAAGGGGACTGCTCGTTGCCACGACAACCAGGCTCTGCAGCCGGGGCCACCTCCCCTACCTAGGCCAGCCCTCTGATGCCAAGCCCATGGGTGTGGGGGAGGTGAGTGACTAAGACCGGAAATGGGGGTGAGTCACCGGGGCCTGCTCTGTCCAGAGCCTTCTGCAAACAGGCCATCAACATAGGCAGCCTGAACGCCTGACTGGGCCCCCACTGGGGCAGTCTCCCAATGGAGGGGGCCCCTACTCCTGGCCCCTTACCCTCAGCTCCCCAGGAACCTGTTGGGGTAAGGGGTGACATTCCAGGCTGCCCCACAAATTGGCACTGCCCCCCAACCACACACCCAATGGAAAAGCCAAACAGAAGGAGAGTGCAGTCCCAGGCAGGGCCAGGTGCTGAGTCCCTGAGTGGGTGCTTCTGTTTCCCCACTGTTCATGCTTCTGAACCCTGGAGCAGTGAGAGGACTAGGGTGTCCAGCAGGAAGGGCAGGACCAACAGGTAAGGAGGCAAGGTCAGAGGGAGGGCTCAGGGCCAGGGCAGTGATGCTACGAGGACCGTGGCTCTCCGTCCAGCCACCCAGTAAACATTTATAGGTCCTGCAAGGCCCAAACCCACAGATGTTGCCTTGACCTTGTTCCTACCTGCTCTGAGCAGGTGCACAAGCCGCCTACCTCCTACTGTTCCCGTGGGGTTTCTATCTATTGAACCATCTCTGCCTTGATCCTGCAGCTGCTGGGCCAGTGACTGAGTGGGTGGAGACAATCACAAAATAATAGCGGTGAAAATGAGGGTAAATGAGAGTCAAAAGGTGGAAACAGCCCGAGTGCTCATCAACAGATGAGCCTGTAATCCCAGCACTTTGGGAGACCAAGGCAGGCGGATCATTTGAGGTCAGGAGTTCAAGACTAGCCTGACCAACATGGTGAAACCCTGTCCCTATGAAAAATACAAAACATTAGCCGGGCATGGTGGCTCACACCTGTAATCCCAGCACTTAGGGAGGCCAAAGCAGGTGGATCCCTTGAGGTCAGGAGTTCGAGACCAGCCTGACCAACACGGTGAAACCCTGTCTCTACGAAAAATATAAAACATTAGCCGGGCATGGTGGCCCACACCTGTAATCCCAGTACTTTGGGAAGCCGAGGCAGGAAGATCATTTGAGGTCAGGAGTTCGAGACCAGCCTGACCAACATGGTGAAACCCTGTCTCTACAAGAAACACAAAACATTAGCCGGGCATGGTGGCCCACACCTGTAATCTCAGCTACTAGGGAGGCTAAGGCAGGAGAATCACTTGAAACCGGAAGGCAGAGGTTACAGCGAGCTGAGATTGCGCCACTATACTCCAGCCTGGGCAACAGGGCGAGACTCTGTCTCAAAAAACAAAACAAAACAAAACAAACAAACAAAAAATGAGTGCATAAACAAAATATGGTTTATCAATACAATGGAATAATATTCAGCCATGTAAAGGAGTGAAATCTGATGCACGCTACAATATGGATGAACCTTGAAAACATCATGCTAAGTGAAAGAAGCCAGACCCCAAACGACAAATACTATGTGATTCCACCCATGTGACGTACCCAGAGCAGACAAGTTCATAGAGACAGAAAGTAGCTGGGAGGGTACCAGGGGCTGGAATGGGGAGGTAATGGAGAGTTACTGCTTGATGGTTAGTTTCTGTTTGGATGATGAAAAAGTTTTGGAAATAGGCAACAGTAATGGTTGCACAACAGTGTGAATGTAATTAATGCCAGTGAATTAACCACTTCAAAATGGTTGCAATGGCCAATTTCATTACATATATTTTGCCATAATTTTTTTTTGAGATGGAGTCTCGCTCTGTCGCCCAGGCTGGAGTGCAGGGGCGCAAACTCAGCTCACTGCAAGCTCCGCCTCCTGGGTTCACGCTATTCTCCTGCCTCAACCTCCCGAGGAGCTGGGACTACAGGTGCCCGCCACCACGCCCAGCTAATTTTTTTTGTATTTTTTAGTAGAGACGGGGTTTCATCATGTTAGCCAGGGTGGTCTCGATCTCCTGACCTCATGATCCACCCGCCTTGGCCTCCCAAAGTGCTGGGATTACAGGTGTGAGCCACTGTGCCCGGCCAATTTTTTTTTTTTTTTTCTTTTTTTGAGACAGAGTCTCGTTCTGTTGCCCAGGCTGGAGTGCAGTGGCACGATCTCAGCTCACTGCAACCCCCACTTCCTGGGTTCAAGTGATTTCCAGGTAATTGTTGCATTTTTAGTAGAGACAGGGTTTTACCATGTTGGCCAGGCTGGTCTCGAACTCCTGACCTCAAATGATCCACTCGCCTTGGCCTCCCAAAGTGCTAGGATTACAGGCGTGAGCCACAGCACCCAGCCTACTTTACCATAATTTTTAAAGTATAATGATATAATATGCTGGAAACCATTGTATACATTTTTTTTTTTTTTTCTGAGACAGGGTCTTGCTCTGTGGCCAGGCTGGGGTGCAGTGGTACAACAATGGCCCACTGTAGAGCCTTAAACTCTTGGGCTCAAACAATCCACCTGCCTCAGCCTCCCGAGGAGCTGGGACTACAGACTTGCACCACCAGGCCTGAATAATTTTTAAATGTTTTTGTAGAGTTGGGGTCTCACTGTGATGCCCAGGCTGGTCTCAAACTCCTGGCTTCAAGTGATTCAACAGCCTCTGCCTCCCAAGGTGCTCCCCACTGTGTACTTTCAATGGATAAATTATAAGGTATGTGAATTAGTATCTCAAAAATGCTGTTAAAGAGGCAGACAGCCAGGTCGGCATCCGGTGGAGCTGAAATGTGGTAGAAGTTGGGGGAGTCTGACCCCAAAGGGCTGCGAGTGGCCACAACAGGCACAAGCACATGGAGCCTGGTTTAGGCCCGGCCCATAGTAGGTGCTTAGTAAATGATCACAAAGAAGGAAACTAAGACAGGGCTCTGGGGAAGTGAGTCAGTGCCCCAGGTGGAAAGAGGCACCCACACGTTCTGATCCATCTGTCCCCTTAGTCCCATGGCCTCCAGCTGGTACCTTCCCCCCGACCAGGACAGTGGCACCTCCCGCCCAATGCAGTGTTGTCAGCTGGGGCTCAGACACCTTCCCAAGCTGCCTGCTTATCTCAGCCTCCAGAGAGGGGTCAGGCATGGTGAGGAAAGGGCAGGCCCAGTTTCTCAACTTCCACAGGCAGCCCGGTGGTTTGGGGCGTGGATGGTCTGGGGCCTGAGCAGTTCTGTGAAGGTAGCCAAGACCAGGGACCAGAAACTACCTCATGTCAGAGGCGGAAGGGGCCCCAAATCCCACCCTTTTCACAGGTGCACCACTGAGCTCAGAGAGGACAAGCCCTGTGTGCTAAAGACAGTGCAGGCTGCCCCAGGCAGGGATGGATACAGAGGCTGTGCGGTGGAGACAGGCGCCAGGGCAGCTGGCGGAGAGGGTGGGAGTTCTGTCCAGGCATGTCCCGGAGGGGTGGCATGCAGGGCGGGGTGTGTGCGGGGTGTATACATAGACAGGGTGTGTGTGTGTGTGAGGGGGAGAGAGAAAGAGAGTGAGTGTGTGTATGAGCGTGAGTGAATGTGAGTGTGTGTGTGCATGTGAGTGTGATTGTGTGTGTGTACAGAGTTCATGGGTGGAGAGGGTGGACGGTGGGCCAGCCTGGGGGAAGTAGGCGGCTCACACTTGGGAGGTGCACACAGGACTCCGCAGGAATGCGAGTCATGCAGGGAACTGCTACAGCCAGCAGCCATGGCCAAGGCCAAGCAGGGAGTAGAGAAAGAGCGTTTCCAGGTGGCCGGGGCCGTGAGGCCCTGGGAGAGGACACAAAATGGTGAGGGGTCCCAAAGACCCTCCCACCCTAATCCTTTAGCCAGCAGGCAGCCTCCGAACCTCAAACACCAATCATGTCCCCCATGACCCAGCTGGCTGCCACACCCAGGGCTGGGGCCTGGCGGGGGCTCAGTGCCAGAGTCCATAACATTCCTTGGAGAACCAACAAAGTCAGGAAAGGCAGGCGGTGCCTCCCTTGGCCCTGGGCCGGACACAGCAAGGGGGGGGTGGCAGCACCCTTTTCTGTGGGGCCAGAACAGGCATGAAGCGCGGTTGGGTGCAGAAGTCAGGGTAGGGGACAGGGAAAGATGTGAGGGAGACCACAGGGCCTGGCAGAGCCAGCCCCCTAGTCCCATCTGGCATGCCCCTGCTTAGCCTGGAGGGCCACCCAGCTTACCCACCACCCAGGCCAGGCACCTGCCAGGGCTGGGGGTTGTTCTGAAGACCCTCACCTGTCAAGCCCACCCACAGCAGTCCCACTCACCCTGCGGGAGACATCCCAGGCAGGCCATGGGCCGAGCCCTCTCGCTCAGGGGCACTTCGTAGTGTATGCAGGCCGGGCAGGGAAGGGGGCGGGATTCTGCCCACTCAGGCCTCTGCCCGTGGGGAGGATGAGGGGCAGGGGCGGAGCATCAGGGCAGAGGCACACACAGGGCTCTGGGGATACAGGGCTGCCAGAGAAAATCCAGGACACACGTTAAATGTGAAATTCAGATAAAAAATAATTTTTTAGTGTAAATACATTCCAAATTTCACGTTTAGTGGAATTCCAAACTTAACTGGGTGTTCTGTATTTTATTTGGCAGCCCTGTGAGGACACTCGTGGGGGCTGGCAGGTGCCCCGTGGGAGAGGAGCAGCCAGCAGACCCCCTGCAGGTATCAGCTTCTCTATCAGTCACTGTGTGACAAGCACAGACTCTGGGCCACACTGCCTGGGTTCAAATTTTCTCTCAGCTACTTCCTGGCTCTGAACCCTAGGCAAGTTACCAAACCTCTCTGAGTCTCAGTTTCCTCATCTGTAAGAGAAGACTACCGGTACTACCTACCTCATGTTATTGTGAGCATTAAATGAGATAATATGCGAAAAGCACCTGGGACAGTGACAAAATTGTTCATTAGTATTCACCAGGCTAGCCAAGAATGGTAGCTCACACCTGTAATCCCAGCACTTTTGGGAATCCAAGGCAGGAGGATCCTTTGAGCCCAGGAGTTCAAGACCAGCCTGGACAACATAGTGAGACCCCAACTCTACAAAAAATAAAAACAAAATTAGCTGGATGTGGTGGTATCCAGTCTCCCAGTCTCTCGAGTCCCAGCTACTCGGGAGACTGAGGTGGGAGGATCACTTGAGCTCAGGAACTTGAGGTTGCGGTGAGCCATGATCATGATCATGCCACTGCACTCCAGCCTGGGTGACAGAATGAGACGCTGTCTCATAAACAACAACAGCAACAACAAAAAGCATTCACTGGGAGCCATCATGGAAAAGTAGGCTCTGGCAGTAGGCAGGCATGTGGCCTTGGGCAGTGATTTCACCCCTCTGCCTTGAGCTTCCCGTCTGTAATGTGACATGAGGACAGCACCTCCCACACAGGCATGCCTGAGGATTAAGCAGGATCAGGTCTGATGCAAGCTCAGCACAGTGCCTCGCGCATGGCAGGTGATCACTGGGCTCTAGCGCTCCTCTGTCTTCAATGATTCCCTGCAAATCAGCAGCCCAGCCCAAGAGCGGGAGACTGGAGTGGGGACAAAGGACTCCCAGTCACTGTGGGGGTGTTTTCTTCCTCCTTCCCTGCTCATCTGGGTCTCCCTAGTGTGGCCCTAAAGGTTTTTCCTTCCTCAGGCCCCACTGAGCCACTCCCTGCCGTAGTCCCTTGACCTGACTTGACATAAAATCTATTCTCTGTTAGGCTAAGGGGTGTGGTGATGGCAGGGGCAGAGCAAGGCAGGGGAGGCTACCTGGGTGACAGGCCTAGGTCTTGGCCCCTGATGGCCCAAGGGGCTGGGCCCCAAGACTGGGTTTCCTTCTCCGCCCTGTCCCTGGGCTCCCTATGGCCTGGGGAAGGGACATTCCCAACAGACTCGGACTCAACATTCCTCTCTCTGCAGTCACTCAGCAGGACAGGGCAGTGGTGAGGAATGAGGGTGGCTGAGATGACATTCTGATACCTACGTAGTTCCCGAGAGTGTCACCTTGATGAGGTGCCCAGAGCTCCCGTGCAGCCTTACTCAGCGGACGGGTACCGAGGCCCGGGTTCAGCTGTAATTATTTGTCTGAATGTGACTCTGCCCACTAAACTGTGCACTTCCTGAGGGCAAAGCTCTGTGCTACTCATCTCTGTAGCCCCAGGCCCTGGCACAGCACCCTGGCCCACTAATGCCGCTCAAAAAACGTGTGGGATGAAGAGGCCAACGGGCACGGGGCCAACCCTCAGCCCTTCTGTGGCACCCATGACCCTGCTGGGGCTGACTCCCAGGGCTGCCCTCAGCTATGCCCAAACCACACCATTTCTTAGCCCAGAGAATGACACCTGTCGATCACAGAGTCCAGCCCAGTCTATCTCCTGGGAGTTCTGGAGTCCACCCTGGGTATCCCCCAAGTCTGGTCCCCACCCCTTGCCCAACTAACTCCTCAGCCTCCCTCCTTGGGTCTCCCTGTTTCTCCCCTGCCTTCGTCCAACCTGCTCCCCACTCTCCACACTCACTCCTGCCTGAGCTCTTTCTGGGGCTCCTGATGCCCTCCAGATAAAGCCCATGACTCTCCAGGGAGGGCCTGGAGGAGCTCCTCCCAGCCCCAGCCTCTCCCCTTTGCCACTCCGGTCTTCCTCAGCTGGGGCCAGCCAGGGCCCTCGCTGGCTCCCCAACCCCTCATGCACTGTCCCCTGTTCCCCCATCCCCAGGGTCCTATTCTTTGTTTCACTGTCTGATCTCCCTGCTGGAACCTCAGCCCTCTCATGCAGGAGCCCCAGGGTGGAGCATACCATAGGCACTCCACAAGTGCTTGTACCATAGTACCATACCATGGGCACTGCATAAGTGCTTGTTCAATGCATGCGCAGTTGAATGGATTGCAGGGTAGAGACGTGTCCTATGTCTCAGTAAACAGAGTGCCAGGCACAGCACCCAGACATAGTCAGCACTCAGGTGGAATGAGTGAAGGTAACAAGAACGCAAAACTGGCAATCAGGACCCCTGAATTCTGCCCCAAGTTTCACACAGGGTCCCTGGCAGCCTTGTCCTTCTGCTCCAGAGCTCCACACCTAGCTTCTCCATCACTGATTACTCTACCAATGGCAGGTCCAACGCAGCACTTTAGTGGTGCGGTCCTTTCCACGTCAGACAACACTCTCGCGTGCACCCTCTCATTCAAGCCCTCCACCACCCTGCGGGTCCCACTTTTCCCAGACTCTGAGAGAGTACCAGGGCCCATGTGGTGGGGCACCACCAGCGTGCCAGTCACACTTTGCCCTTTGTTGGCTTTGTGGTCACAGGCAAATTCCTTGCTGTCTCTGAGTCAGTTTCCTCACCTGTGAAATGAGGATTCACCTCCCACCTAGGAAGTTGAGGAAGATTGCAAGACACCACCTGTGTAACCCACCGAGTGCCAGCTGCCTCTGATGTTCCAGTGAGCCACAGTTACATTCCTTCTCCACTACTGACTTCCCCAAATCTGACATGAGAGCCTTGGCTTTCGGGCTTTCTCACTGGTTAGACCAGTCCTGCCAGGGCAGTGTGGCTGTGGCTGCCCCTGTGGGGCGGCAGGTTGGAGGGCTGCTGCGGAGGCCAGCCTCTTCTGCGGAGGCCAATCACAAACTCGCATCCTTCCTAAGGGCTGCCAAGACCCCGAGACACCCTGGCAGACCCTAGATACTGCTGGGGAGCCGGGCGAGGGACACCCCAAGCCTCCCTCTCCCGCTCCACTCTCCCTGGGGACCCCACCAGCGTCCCGTGCCCGAATTCGCGCTCCAGACGCCCCGCGGGCGCCCCCTGGTGGGAAGCAAAGAGCATCCTAGGCGCCCGGCTCGCCCCGGGACTCTCGCGGATGACCCCAGGTGCGACCCCCGGCTGGACGGCGCTGGCCCTCCGCCCCTAGCCATAGCCTCCCAGCCCCGTACAGCCTGGGGAGTCCACGAACTGCTCCCTGGAGCGCCCCAGACTGGGCCCCTGGGAACGGTCCGTGCCCACCCCACCGCCCCCTGCCCGTCACTGACCCATCTTCTTCAGCGCCCGCAGCCCGGGCCTCTTGGTGCCGCCATCGGAGGGAGTCGGCGGGGACGGGAGCGCGACTGGCGCCGCGACTTGGGCGGCTACCGGGGGCTCCTCGGGCGGGCGGCGGCAGCGCCTCCAGCGGCCGCACAGCATGGCTTGGCAGGGGGCCGGGGCCGGGGCCGGGCCCGGGGTCTGCACACGGGGAACAGGGCAGCGGGGCGCCGCTCCGGCCCGGCCCCAGCTCTGAGCGCGGCGGCGAGCGAAGAAACTTAGCAGCGCTGGAGAGAGTCGGAGGAGGCAGCAGGAGGTGGGGCGGGATGGGAAGGGGGCGGGTCCAGGGCAGCGAGGGGGCGGGGCCAGGCGGTGGCCTGGACCCTCGGAGCCTCAGCGCTCACCCCAGCTGGTGAGTCCGCCTCCCCTCAGTCCCGGCGAGCCTCTGATCTTGGCCGTGACAGTGACCAGAGCCCCCATGCTGCGGGGCTGGGGTTGGGAGCCGGCACCGGGGACGAAGGTCGTCCTCTGGCACAGACACCCTCTCCTTCCCGGGGACCCTGACTCGAGGCGGACGCGGGACCCCCTCCTCCTTCCCTTCCGCGTCCGCGTCGTGCCGCAGGCCTCAGCAGGGAACCAGACCCGGGACGGGACGCAGGGCCGGGAGCGAAGGCAGAACCCCAGGAGCTGAGCCGCGCGAGGCAGCGCGAACCCGAAGGGATGGGCATGGGGGTGGGGGGGGGGGTTGGCAGTGACGTCATAGGATTAACCTCCTTGTGCCAGGCCAGGTGCTGCCCCCTCGGAGAGCCACAGTCTCGGAGCTGACGGACCTGGGAAGCGTGAGGCGGAGCCAAGCCTGGGGTCCCCAGCAACTGGTTCTGGGTTCGAGGCTTAGACAGGCTGGCACCCCAGCCCGGCATCTGCGATGTAGTTGTCCGCGATGTCAACCCGTGGGTGGGCATCCGCGTGCGGGTTCTGGTGGCCGAGTCGGGTGTGCACTTATTAATTATATGCAAGCACCAGAGTGCGTGCGCGAAGTGGGGGACGTCCAGGTGGCAGCGTTTCTGCAGCCGGTGGCCTGGGTCCGGCAGAGAGATGGGCGCACACCGCCACTCAGCGGCGGCCAGCGGCGTGGCATCCTACAGAGAGGCTAGTGCTCAGGGCCTGGATTTGCCACCTGCTTGCCCTGCTCTACCCCATCCTCAGATCCCCCACGCCCAGAGATTCCGCACTCTGGCTTGGGTCCCTGCGCCACTCTGGGGTCCTGAATTTTCTTCCTAATTATCGTCTTCGCCTTTGTACTTTTGATCCTACCATTCCTTCCTCCAGGAACAACCCTTCCTTATTCTCCTGGTTTACTCTTTTGTTGTTGTTGTTGTTGGATAAGCTAAGTCTACATTTCTTTTAATTGTTATGGATACTTAATAGTTGCAGAGAATTATGAAGATGCATGTGATGTTTTGGTACAGGTATAAAATGTGTAATGATCAAATCAAGGTAATTGAGGTACCCATCACCTCAAGCATGTATCATTCCTTTGTATTAGGAACATTCCAATTCCACTTCTAGTTATTTTTATTTGTATTTTATTTATTTGTTTATTTATTAGAGACAAGTTCTCACTACTTGGTTGCCCAGGGTGGAGTGCAGTGGCATTATCAGAGCTCACTGCAGCCTCAAAGCAATTCTCTTGCCTTGGCCTCCCAAAGTGTTGGGACTACAGGCCTGAGCCACCATGTCCCATCCAGTTATTTTGAAATATACAATAAATTGGCCGGATGCGGTGGCTCACGCCTGTAATCCCAGTACTTTGGGAGGCAGAGGTGGGACGATCACTTGAGGCCAAGAATTGAAGACCAGCCTGGGCAACATAATGAGACCTCTGCCTCTACAAAAATTGTTTATAAAATAATTAATTTTAAAAAATACAATACATTATTGGTAACTATAATCGTTGTATTGTGCTACCGAATACCGAATACTGGGTCTCATTCATTGTAACTGTATTTTTGTACCCATTTCCCCCCCTCCCCAGTACCCTTCCCAGCCTCTGGTAACTATCATTCTGCGATCTACATTTTGCTTTTTTTTTTTTGAGATGGAGTCTCACTCTGTTGCCCAGACTGGAGTGCAGTGGGGCAATCTTGGCTCACTGCAATCTCTACCTCCCGGGTTCAAGCGATTCTCTTGCCTCAGCCTCCCCAGTAACTGGGATTACAGGCACGCACCACCACTCCCGGCTAATTTGTGTATTTTTAGTAGAGACGGGGTTTCACCATGTTGACCAGGCTGGTCTCGAACTCCTGACCACAGATGATCCGTCCGCCTTGGCCTCTCAAAGTTCTGGGATTACAGGCATGAGCCACGGTGCCCGACCATCTTCCAAAACTCAGCTGTGATGTCCCTCCTCCAGAACGCCTGACGACAGGACATGACTTTTTTTAATCCCCAGTGCCTAAACGTCTAAAGAGCTGAGTGGGTTGCCTAGGATCGGCCAGGCCTGGATATCCGCGAACAGATGCGGATTTCCACCAGGGGGCGCTAGGACGCCACGACCTTTCACTATGTGCACCAGGGGGCGCTGCCGCCCGCCTTGGCCATCCCGGACTGGGAAGTCCGACCCTAGGATTAAGCCCCGCCTAATTGGGAAAGGCTCTGAGAAACTATTTGCATTATCTTGAAAGGGCCGTGCTGAATGGTTGAGGTAGATAAGCCGACTGTGAAACAAGCTCTCTCATTGGCTTAAATTTCCCCCCTCGCTCTGCGTCGCCATCCCGGCCCTGCTGGACCCCGGGGACAGTAGGAAGCCGCGGGGTGGTGGCGAGAGACGACCCAGGTGTCCCGGCAGTGAGCGCCGCGGGGCGCAGGCTGGGCCAAGGTGCAGGCGGCCAGGGTGGGAGACTGTTCGCCCCGCCCTGACTCCTCCTCTCTTCTCTGCCAGTCCAGGAGTCGGAGATGTGCAGCTAAAGAAAGCGCATCTGGGGACGGACATATCTGGCACTGCAGCCCTCACCACCTGCCTCTCCACCCACCGAGGCCCTGGCGACCCTGGCCCCACCACGCTACCTTGAGGTAGGAAAAGGAGGCTCCTCAACCACAACTTCTGACCTCCCAGGGTGTCTCCCTCGGGCCTCTGAAGAGCTTAGTTTGCCCCTCTGGGAAGTGGATCCTTGGCTTACGGTGCCGGGGGTACCCTGGAGGCCCCCTCACACGAAGGCTGCTTCTTACAGAGTCGCTCGAAAGTAGGGCCCCAGGGCTCGCAGCAGCATGGGCACCGAGAAAGAAAGCCCAGAGCCCGACTGCCAGAAACAGTTCCAGGCTGCAGTGAGCGTCATCCAGAACCTGCCTAAGAACGGTGAGGCTGCGGGGACTCGCATTTGGACTCGCATTCAGGACGCCTGGGTTCTGACTCTGAAGAAAGAATGGTCCTGATCATTGCAGTTTTTACAGACGCCCCTGCCTGAGCTGTCCTGGGGGTTCCCTCCACTTCCTGCCCCAGTCCAGATGCCCTGGGTGGGACCCATCTCCACCTCTGCCCTTTCCAAGCGGGGTTCTCCCGCCCCTCCGCCCCTTGGAGCTGGGAGTGATGTTCTGCCCTGGCTTCCGAACTCTGCCCAGGTTCTTACCGCCCCTCCTATGAAGAGATGCTGCGATTCTACAGTTACTACAAGCAGGCCACCATGGGGCCCTGCCTGGTCCCCCGGCCTGGATTCTGGGACCCCATTGGACGATATAAGTGGTGAGCTCCCGGCTGGCTGGGCAAACAAGCCTCAGCTGTCAAGCAGCCCTCTCACAGCCCTCTGCCCCCAGGGACGCCTGGAACAGTCTGGGCAAGATGAGCAGGGAGGAGGCCATGTCTGCCTACATCACTGAAATGAAACTGGTGGCACAGAAGGTAGGGGCTGCAGGTTCTCTGTCCCCAGGCTCCTGGACAGCTGGCCTGCCCCTTGCCCTTCCAGTTCTGACCCCCACTACATTTCCTAAACATGGACCCCCTCGTGGGAATCACCACCTTCATGTTACCCCCAGCCCTGCCTATCTTTGGCCCCTGACTGGGCACAGGGTGGAGGTGTGTGACAGGGCAGGAGCAGGGCGGAAGGGACAGGAGGCCACTCTCTCCCCAACAGACCCCCTCCCCCACAGGTGATCGACACAGTGCCCCTGGGTGAGGTGGCAGAGGACATGTTTGGTTACTTCGAGCCCCTGTACCAGGTGATCCCTGACATGCCGAGGCCCCCAGAGACCTTCCTGAGAAGGGTCGCAGGTCAGACTCCCAGGCTGGGAGCTCCAAAAGTGCTGAGTGAACTCAGGCTAGGTCTAGCCTGAGGTGGGCTGGGGGCAGAGGGCTCCAGGTGACATCCCTATTAGAACCCCCACGCCCCTGAGAGGTGGATCTCAGGCAGCACCCATGGCTCATCCCGAATAGGGGCTTGATCACACTGGGAGGTGCCAACCTCTCCCCAGCCCCACCTCTGGGTGCTGTGTCTTGGCAGGTTGGAAAGAGCAGGTTGTGAATGAAGATGCTGGGGCTGTTTCAGAGCCTCCCTGCCTCCCCAAGGAACCGGCACCCCCAAGCCCAGGTTAGTGCTTAGGCAGGAGGGGTGGACCAAACCAGGCTGGGGGAGGGCTGGAAGGGAGAAGGCTGGATACCACGCTGTGCCCTCCACAGACACTGAGCCTTCCTGTGCTCCCAAAGGCAGGGACTGGGGTCTAGGATTCCTGTTCCAGGGCCTTGCCTCTGGTGCCCATCTGTGCCTCAGGTGGTGATAGCTCCAGTGCCTTGTATCTCTAGTGTCTCCTAAACAGTTGCTTCTGTCCAGTGCACACCCCTGCTCTCCGTCCACAGCTTCCCTCTGGGCAGTAACTCTACCAATCCCTCCACAGAGTCCCATCCACCCAGAGACCTGGACTCCGAGGTTTTCTGTGATTCCCTGGAGCAGCTGGAGCCTGAGCTGGTGAGACCAGTCCCCATTCCCCTTTTTCCCACTCTACTGTGCTCCCACTCCCACCCTCAGCCCTCTGACTCATCTCAGCAGGGTTGGGCAGAGCAGCGGGCAGCATCTGGAGGAAAGCGTGATCCCAGGAACAGCCCCGTGCCCCCTACAGAGAAAGGTGAGCTCCTGCCCAACCTTTCACCCACTTCTGCCTTTTCCTGTGGTCTTGGCATCCCAGGCCTTCTCTTGGCTGCCTTCCTAGGGCAGAGGTGAAAGTCCATTGCTGGGCACTGAGCGAGAAGCCTCTGTCCAGGAGGGGCTGCCAATCAGCCAGATACCTGCCTGGGTGGGCAAAGTCCCCGCCCTCCCTCCTGTCCCCAAAGGGCACCCAGGAGTCTGTACCCTCTGCAGGTGCTGAGTAAGGCCAGCGGGATGGGAGTCCTAGCCCAGCTCTCCCACCTACAGCTGCACAGCCTCAGGAAGTCATCTATACTCTCTGGAACCCCCGTTTGGAAATCTCAGAAGACAATGAGTTCTGCCCTCTTCCCTTCTAGAACTCCTGTTGTGTGTTAGGTCCTGTATGGACATTTTCAAAAGTATCTCCTTTATTCCTCTGAGCAAGCAGCCCTGTGAAGGAGATGACATCTTCTCCTAATTTTTAGATGACAAAATGATGCCCAGAGAAGTTAATGACTTTGGCCGGGCTTGATGGCTCACGCCTGGAATCCCAGCACTTTGGGAGGCCAAGGCAGGCAGATCACCTGAGGTCAGGAGTTTGAGACAAGCCTGGCCAACATGGTGAAACCCTGTAGCTACTAAAAATACAAATATTAGCCAGGTGTGGTGGGCACCTATAGTCCCAGCTATTCGGGAGGCTGAGGCAGGAGAATTGCTTGAATCCAGGAGGCGGAGGTGGCAGTGAGCCGAGATCATTGTGCCACTGCACTCCAGTCTGGGCGACAGAGCAAGACTGTCTCAAAAAAAAAAAAAAAAAAATTAATGAGTTGACCTGCATCGTAAGCAGCCGTGCTGGGATTAAACCTCCAGCAGCCCATTACTCAGCTACATAGATGGACTTTGCAAGAATCACACTTGGTCCAAGGATTGGGTTCCACTCCCACACTTTCCTGGGCTTGCCCCAGCCTGCCGCCCCACTGCCCAGAGCTGAACTGCCTCCTGAGCCCCCTTCCCTGTGTGTCTGTGCTCTGCAGAGCGGAGCACAGCAGGGCCCCAGGAGTTGGACGTGTGGCTGCTGGGGACAGTTCGAGCACTACAGGAGAGCATGCAGGAGGTGCAGGCGAGGGTGCAGAGCCTGGAGAGCATGCCCCGGCCCCCCGAGCAGGTGAGTCCCCCACCCCATCGGACAAGATGACGGCAGAATCTGGTCTCTGTTCTGGGGTCCTCATCCAGCCACTTTTGTTTTTGTCCTCACGCCTCCACCTGCCCACCTCTCTGTCCAGAGAATGGCGTGGCTCCTGCAGCAGACAGGAGGTGGGGGTGAGGGTGGAGGGGGCTGACGTGCTTCCACTCTGAAGGCAGAGGGGGCGGGGCCCTTTGCTGTTCTCCCCTCCCTCTGCCTAGAGAGAAGCTAAGCCGCAGGACTAATCCTGCGTGGGAAGGTCATGATGTGTCTGCTCTGGGCATTGAGGACGCTGGTCCCTGTTGTCCCTCTGTCAGGTCTTCCATTCCCAGAATTAGGATTTGCCCCAAATGGTTCAGCCCTTGCATCCCTCTCACCTCCTAGCTCTGCTTGCCCCTGACACTTGGGCTCCTGGGCTTCTGCAAACTAAGTAACGGCTGCCATTGCTGGAGCCCCGCTAGGCGCCAAACACTCATGGGCATCTTCCCACTGAATTCACACAGCAGCCCTAGGGATAGAGTTTCTTTTCACCTCCCTTTTAGAGAGGGAAACTAAGGCTCCAAAGGGCTAATTTGCCTGAGGGCACATAGCCTGGGACAGCCTCTCTGAGCTGCTGTGAGGATTCAACCATGCATGTTGGTGCTTCCGTGGTGCCCACCACATAGAAAGCCTTCTCCAGTCGGTTCTGTTGCTACTATTGCTGTTAATATTAACACTAAGCGATGGAGTTGGCAGTGGTCCCTAGTCTGTCTGCCTGCAAAGCTGGTACCCACCATTAACTCTGAGTGGGTCTGTTCTTGAAAAGCCTGAGGTGGTGGGGGCAGGAGAGGGCTGGATTCCCAGATGTGAGGGGTCTCTGGGGTGACCTCTAACCCACTCAGCACAGCAGGGGTGAGCCCACAGCAGCAGGATTTCCTCAGATCCACGATGGCTAACTTTTCAACACTGCCCCTCCCCCTCAACAGGGCTTGCTTTCTTTTCTTTTTTTCTGTTTTTTGTTTGTTTGTTTGTTTGTTTATTTTGAGATGGAGTCTTGCTCTGTTGCCCAGGCTGGAGTAGAGTGGCATGATATCGGCTCACTGCAACCTCCGCCTCCTGGGTTCAAGTGATTCTCCAGCCTCCAGAGTAGCTGGGACTACAGGCGGCACCACCACGCCCGGCTAATTTTTGTATTTTTAGTAGAGACGGGGTTTCACCATGGTCCCCAGGATGGTCTCAATCTCTTGACCTCGTGATCCATCCGCCTCAGCCTCCCAAAGTGCTGGGATTACAGGTGTGAGCCACCACGCCTGGCCCCCTTTTCTTTTTTTCCTACCATTTACTACTTTTAAATGTTGAAGATTTTAAAGTAGATGACAGGCCAGCATGGTGGCTCACACCTGTAATCCCAGCACTTTGGGAGGCTGAGGAGGGAGGATCTCTTGAGACTGGGAGTTCAACACCAGCCTGGGCAACATAGCAAGATCCTGTCTCAAACAAACAAACAAACAAGCAAAAACAGATTATAAACATCATTATGTTCCACCCCGAAAGAGTTGGGTGCATATCTCTCAAAATAGGCCAGGCGTGGTGGCTCACGCCTGTAATCCTAGCAATTTGCAGACCAGCCTGGCCAACATGGCGAAACCCCGTCTCTACTAAAAATACAAAACTTAGCTGGGCGAGGTGGCAGGCACCTGTAATCCCAGCTACTCAGGAGGCTAAGGCAGGAGAATCACTTGAAACTGGGAGGCAGAGGTTACAGTGAGCCGAGATTGTGCCATTGCACTCCAGCCTAAGTTACAGAGCAAGACTCCCGTCTCAAAAACAAACAAAAAAACATATCTCTGAAAATAAGAACACTTACCTAGCCCAAACATCATATTATACACAATTATTAATTTCTTAATATCATGAAATACCCGATCTAAATTCCAATTTCTCCAGTTATCCTGAAACCACCTTTTCCAGCTGCTGTTTTTCCAGTCTAGGACCACACATTGCATCTGTTCCCTTTTCAATTCTCTGTTAATCTAGCTTAGTCCTTCTCCTTGCTATTGACTTGCTGACCAGTCTGAGCTGGTGTCCTATAGAATGTTCCACCTTTTGGGTCTAATTACATCCTCATGGGTGGTTTCTCGATATACATTTCCTATGAACTGCAGGTTAGATCTAAACACTGGATTAGAGTCAAATTAAACATTTGGGCCGGGCATGGTGGCTCACGCCTGTGATCCCAGTACTTTGGGAGGCTGAGGCAGGCAGATTGCTTGAGCCCAGGAGTTTGAGACCAGCCTGGGCAACATAGTGAGACCCTGTCTCCACAAAATATAGTTTTAAAAATTAGCTGGGCATGGACTGAAGCAGGAGGATTGCTTGAGCCCAGGAGATTGAGACTGCAGTGAACTATCATGGTGTCATTGCACTCCAGCCTGGGCGACAGAGTGAGACCTTGTCTCAAAAAGACACAAAACACAAAAAACCGCAACATTTTGGATCAGACTACATCAGAGGTGATGTTTTTTCATGGCAGAGGACACATGCTATCTGGATGTCCCACCATTAGTAACTCTAGCATGGACCACTGGCATGGTTGAAGGGAGTCTGATCCCACCATTGTAAAGTCATGTTTTGCTCCTGCAGTCAGATCATATCCAGTCCTGCATCAACTCCATTTGCCAGTTTTTGACAATTGCTAATCCTTGCCTGAGTCAATAATTTAGTGATTGCCAAAAAAAAGCTGACTTTTAAATGCTACGATTCCTTTAACATCTATTAGCTATCATTTGTGTACTGTTTCCCTCATCATCTTGGGTTTCCCTGAAATACAGTGGAAAGGAAGGGTAAATGCTTCATTCTTTATCTTTAGTTATCTATTTTTAAAGTAAGAAATTAATTTAGGCTGGGTACCGTAGCTCACACCTGTAATCCCAGCACTTTGGGAGGCTGAGGTGGGCGGGTAGACCACCCGAGGTCAGGAGTTTGAGACCAGCCTGACCAACATGGTAAAACCCCGTCTCTACTAAAAATACAAAAATTAGCTGGGCATGGTGGCAGGCCTCTATAATCCCAGCTACTCAGGAGGCTGAGGCAGGAGGGCAGGAGAATCGCTTGAACCCAGGAGGCGGAGGTTGCAGTGAGCTGAGATTGTGCTGCCGCATTCTAGCCTGGACGACAGAGCAAGACTCCATCTCAACAAAAAAGGAAAAAGAAAAAAAAAAAAAGGAAAAGAAAGAAATTAATTTAAAAGCCACCTACCTAAATGGTGACAAAATTCCAGTTTTCTTTTGAGTATCACTGTGGGCTCATGGATTTCACAGATTCTGTATTCCCAGGAGCCACAGTCATTCTTCTTCTTCTTTTTTTTTTTTTTTTTGAGATGGAGTCTCACTCTGTCAGTCAGACTAGAGTGCAGTGGCACGATCTTGGCTCACTGCAACCTCCGCCTCCCAGTTCAAGCAATTCTCTGCCTCAGCCTCCCGAGTAGCTGGGATTACAGGTGCCTGCCACCATGCCCGGCTAATTTTTTTGTATTTTTAGTAGAGACAGGGTTTCACCATCTTGGCCAGGCTGGTCTTGAACTCCTGACCTCGTGATCTGCCCGCCTCAGCCTCCCAAAGTGCTGGGATGACAGGTGTGAGCCACCGCGCCCAGTCTGCCACAGTCATTCTTTTTGATGCTCAGACAGTCACAACTTTGGCCATTCGAGACCCTTTCAAACCAGGTCCTATGTTCTTATAACACGACCTGATGAATCTTTAAAAGTGGCCTTGCTTTCCTGGTACAAGGCGCCCCACATTCACTCCCACCTTCCCTGCCCTAGGCCTGGAATCAACCACTTCTCCAAGGAGCCTTGGCTCCTTTTTAGTGGAGAATGATAGTTGGAAACTAAAATCTGGGTACCCAGGGTCCTCATTTGAAATATGTGGCACATCCTTAACAACAGAAGTCTTCAGGTAATACCAACGGTCATTGCTTTGTGGCCCAGAGAAGATGGCATGGAAGCCGCTCCGTCTACCCACAGCCTTTCCAGCCTCTCTTGACACTGGGATTGCCCTGGGAAGGAAGATATGGGAGGGAGTTGGCATTCAACCTGTCAGGACCACCTGGGGGCCACTTCCCTTCTAGTGTTGCAGACTTGGGGCAGGGTCCTTCCAGTCTCCCACTGAATTGGAAGCAGGTTCCTAGGGAGGTTGTGCTGAGGCCTGGACTGGCCTCTGACTCCTTCCCTCTTGGCTGCAGAGGCCGCAGCCCAGGCCCAGTGCTCGGCCATGGCCCCTTGGGCTCCCGGGGCCCACGCTGCTGTTCTTCCTCCTGTGGCCCTTCGTCGTCCAGTGGCTCTTCCGAATGTTTCGGACCCAAAAGAGGTGACTGTCATTGGAGGGGTCTCTGCAGCCAACTGAGACTATCTTGTGTGCCATGAGCCTTCCTAGGGTTTAGAAGAACAGCATTCAAAATTCCCCCTCCTGTCAGTGTTTGCCTTCGCACCTCCTCCCCTAACGCAGCGCGGGGTGCAAATAAGACCCCACCCCTCCCTGCGCCTTCATAGGGACGCTTCCTTCCCTCCCCGCAACCACCCCAGGCTTCCCTGGGAGGCTGCAGTTGTGGTGCACGTCCCCGGTGCTGGGTTGGCCGTGACTCGGGGGCGGGGCTATCGGGTCTCAGCCCCTGCCCTCCCCACCCTCTCGGTCACCTGACTCTCTTCCCACCCCTGCTTCTCCCCGAGGAGGTTCAGCTCTTGGGCAAGTTGGGACTCGGGCCGGGGCCTGGAAGAATGATTGGCTGGGAGGCTGCGGGAGGGAGGCCAGGAGGCCCCGACCAGTTGGGAGGAGGGAGCAGGCCCCGGGGGAGGGGGATGAGCGCAGTTTGCTCGTCTTCCTCCCCTGCCGGCCCCCTCCGCCCCCACACACACTCAGGACGTCTTCACTGAAGATTCACTTACAAACGAATGTTTCACTCAATAAAAGAAAACCATAATCTTCTACTGTCTGGTCCCCTACGGAGGGAGCGGGGAGCGGGGCCTGGAGCGGGAGAAGCACAAGTCCCTTTCCTGCTCCCCACCCAGTGCCCCCTTGATGGCCCTGAAAGAGGCCGGCGGTTGGTGTTTCTGAATGGGGAATATTTTCCCTCCTCCCTGGGCAAGCGAAGGGAAAACAGGCCTCGGTGTGGAGGGGAGAGGGAGGGGAACCAAGGGTGGCCCGGGGCGGGAGGGGGGGCACCCTTGGGAGGGCGGAGCCCTGCCCGCCGCCCCGTCGGGGACGCGGGGTCCGAGCGAGCTGGGGGTGGCGGGGAGGAGCGGAGCAGGGAGGAGCGGAGCAGGGCTGGGCGGGGTCGAGGAGCTGGTTTGGCCCCCGCCCGAAGGGGACGGCGGCAGCTCCAGCTCCGCGCCCCGGGCGTAGGGATGGGGTTCGGAGCCCCAGGCCCCAGAAATGTCCGCTGCCCCCTCTTCAGCTGCCTGTTCCTGGTGCCCCACCTTGACCTCTGGGCCTGGGCCTTCCCAGGGAATTTTCTGGAAGGCCAAGGCCCGGCGAGAACCTCGTCGTCGCCCAGCCCTGAGTAGAGGGCAGGACCCTGCGCGCCTGGAAGCCCCCGTCGGGGTGGGCCGAGCGCCCGCGTGCACTCGCCTTCCGGGGGGTACAGGCCAGAGGCCTTGGCCTCCCTCTGTCAGCACCAGCTCTGTCGTCCGTGGGCCGCCTTGGCTCAAGCCACAGCCCGGCCCGTATTCAACGGCGAAACTGGCCGCTCTGGGCGCCGCCTGGTGCCAGCGCCTCCAAGTCCACTGGCCAGGGTCCCTACCAGAGTCCCCCGCCGCTGCCACCACCTGGGCCCTAGGACCTTCCTATCCCCGGGTAAGGAAGAGGCAGTTCTGAAGGTCCCTGGCTGAGATCCTTACACTCTTGAGTTCCCTGTCAGCCTCTAGTCTTGACCACCGCCCCAGGCTTGGCCATCATTGACCCCACTGGAAGCCACAGTCACTCTTTAGTCGTCAGTCCTCTCCAAGCCGGGAAGGCATCCCTGAGGCTAGACGGTGCACTCTGCACGGCTCAGCCCAGGATCACAAGCACAGGCTGAATAGCCCCTGTGATATGGCTGGACTGCAGCAAGCAGGACAGACAACAGCAGGGCCACCTTGGTGGGGGATGCAGGCCCAGGGCTGAAGCCAGCTCCACTACTTGCACAGTAGCTGTGGAACTTGGGCAAGATTTTTTTTGAGACTGAGGCTGGCTTTGTTGTCAGGCTGGAGTGCGGTAGTGCGATCTCGGCTCACTGCAACCTCTGCCTCCCAGGTTCAAGCGATTCTCCTGCCTCAGCCTCCCTAGAGTAGCTGGGACTACAGGCACATGCCACCACGCCCGGCTAATTTTTTGTATTTTTAGTAGAGAATGAGATTCACCGTGTTAGCCAGGATGGTCTCGATCTCCTGACCTCATGATCAAAGTGCTGGGATTACAGGCGTGCGCCCCCGCCCCCAGCTCTTGGGGAAGATTCTTAACTGCTCTGGGCTTGGGTGGCCTTGTTTGTGAAATAGGGTTGATCTCTTCTTCATAAGGCAGTCCTGGGGTTTACCAGTGATGGGGCATGTTAAATGTCTGGCAAAGGGTTAGAACCCAGCTAATAGTAAAGTTGCCTGGCCCCTTGACAGAATTCTAGAATTCCACAAGCTATTCCTCAGTCCACCTCTCCCCCAATATGACAAATGAGACCATACAATGGAGCCCAGTCCAGGACACTGAGGCTGGGCTCAGCTGTACCTTCCAAATGCCCCAAATTGGGGTACCCAGAATCATCTGGGGTCTGAAGATGTGGTAACAATTTGGAGGTCTCTGTGATAACCAAGTTCTCCGCAAAACCCCTTTTTCCTCCAGGAGTGCTCTGAGGGGCAGTTCTTGCTCTCAGGAAGCCTGCTAAGGGATGAAGCCACACAGAGCGGGGAGCTTTTCAGGTGGACCGGAGTTCTTGGAAGCCCAGAGAAAACAAACGAAAGTGTTCATTTTCAGAACATACAGCTGTGCCCAGAGGCCCGCGTGCTTGCGGCTCCCCTTAGAGGTGTCTACATTGGCCATGCCCATCATCACTGGCCCCCCCCCCATATCTCATACTGCCCCAGAGCCACCGAGGTCCCAGACTAGCCCTTTCCTGGCACATAATGCTTGGTCTTACTAAAATGCCCCTCTTCATGCCACTTTGCCTGAAAGTTCTTCATCCTTCAGAGCCAGCCAGGAAGTCACTTGCTCCTGACACTTGTCCATAATTCCCAGCTCCCACGCACTCAGCTCATTGGCTCCCACAGGGATTTCCCTCACTTGCCATTTTGGCTGGCTGTGGTCTGATGGCCTCTCCACAGTCCATGAGCAACTTGAAGGCAAGGATGGCATCCCACCCCTCTTTGTACCCTCCTGGGTGCCAAATGATATAGGGGCCGAATAAGGTTGAAGTTGTTGGGAATGAAAAGAACGAAATCCAGAGTTTTCCCCGATTTTAAGAAAAAACGGGGTTTTGTGTTTGTGACAGAAAAATGGCATGGGGAGGTCACAAAGACCCGCGCTGTAGCCAGAACTGCCCCATGGTTGTCATGTGACCTTGGACAAGTCACTTATTTTCCGGGTGTCTTAGAGATGCCTTATCTGTAAAATGGAGACAGTCATTCCTATCGTGCCTAACTCGCCAGGCTGTGGTGAGGTCACATGGTTCTGTGCGTAAAAGGTGCACAGTGCAAACGTGCTGGAATGCCAGGGATGCTATTAAGGAACCAGTAAGAAGAAAGGGTCACTGGGTGTGTGGCGAGGAAGAAGTGGAAAGGGCGCCAAGATTTTAGGTCCCAGTGACTGGTATGGAGGGTTCTCTGGGTCCTCTCAGTCCCTGTTTATGGAGGGCAGGGCGCTTGGGTCTGGAGAATTTCTCTCTGAGAAACTATGCCCCCTGGGGAATCGGCCCCCCGGCCCTGCGCCAGAATCCCCTGCCGCAAGTTTCGGGGCAAGGTCTCCACCATGCTTCCCTCCCAGTCTTGCCCAGCGCCCACTTATGAGGAAGGGCCTCTGCAGGTGAGACCGGCTTCCCTCTCGGATAGCCAGGGCAGAAGATTTCAACTCATTAATCATTTCGAACCTTTCCCAACAAACAGCCTCATGGCCGGCCCAAACCTCCCCTGTCCCGGCTCAGGAAATGATCTCGGTCGGAAGTGAAAAGACCAAATCGGCCCCAGGAGGCCATTTTCTTCGACAGAAGCTGAGGCCTGGGGGCGAGGCCTTCCCCCTGCTTCCCTTCCATTCCCCCGCCCCCACGCTTTCCGATCTCGGCCCAAAGAAGAGGCTTGGCCGCGAATCACCGGTTTGCATTGGCCCCTGGGGCGTGGGCGGCTTTCTGAGACCAGGCTGGGGCTGGGACTCCGCCACCTTCAGCTAAGGGTACCGAAGTCTGTCCGGGAGTCGGCGTCACCGGGACTCGAACCTGCCTTTTCGTCTTCCGAGGCCTAGTGCGAACCTGCTGTGCTAAACTCAGTCACACTGTCCCTTTAAGGCGGCACTTTTTATTCTTCATTTGTTTACTTCTTCATGCGCTTTTCGTTCTTTACAAAATGTGCTCGCGATATCCTTCCGCAAGTGTCAATCTCAGGCACTCACCAGCCGCCTTGAAGCCGTTTCTGTAATCTTAGGAATCGCGAGTTACCAGCCGTGGGCCGACATCTCTCTTTATAGGATTTAATTCTTATACATTTTAGGGACTACTTTTTAGGAATAAACCATTCTTGCGTTAGTTAATAAAGGTTCATAACCTTCGGAACCCTTCCGCTGAGAACAGAATAGGATAGTAGCCTTTATAACGCACCTTTTCATAAAAATATTCTGTGTGGACTCTCATAGGCCATCGAATCTTCTCGTATTCCTGAAACAGAATGGTACGGTCCAGAACCCGCCCCATCTTCTCTGCGATTGGCCGTCCTTCCTCAGTGAGTCGTGTGATTTTTCACCAATGGCCGCTCGCGTTTCTTTAGCGAGGGCTAAGCGATGGAAGGAGGTGGCCAGGGAGACGCCCCCTACGCGTTCTGGGATTGGCTACGTCGCACGGCGCGCGAGGACGGCGGGCCCGAAAGATAAGAACTACGACTCCCGGCTCCCCGCAATGGGAACTCCATTACGCATGCGCACGGGCGGGGCGAACAAGCTTCTATATAAAAGGGGCGCAGAGGGCTGGGAGGCAGCAGTTGGAAGTTGGCAGGTGGAGAGGCAGGTTGGGAGGGAAAGTCGGGGGAGGAGGCGGAAGAGGAGCTGTGGGAAGCGGGAGGAGGGAGGGAGGAAAAGAGGAGGCGGAGGAGAACTGAGCAGAGCAGAGCATCGAGCCAAAGGGGAGATGAGTTTGTCTGTCCTCTGCTGAGGCTCCGGCCGGGCCTAGGGAACTGGGAGCTTAGGTGGAAGCGACACCCGTGGAAGTGGGAGGAGGTGGCTCCGGGACTTTAACCCCTTGTGGGCTCTGCGGCAGGGGATTTAACCCTTTGTGGATCTGGCCCCTCGGAGGCAGCGTCATCGGTAGTTTTAACCCCTTCGGGGCTGGGTTTCACCCACTGGACTTACCCTCATCACCTTGCTTACCAACTCCTTTATTGGGGTGCTCCGCTTGGAGGTTTGAGGCCCACCTCCGCACATTACGTACTGTTCCTGCCGCTGCACCCCCTTGGACCGCTAGCTGGCCGCACTGTGGACGCTTAACCCTTTACTGACTTGAGCTCCCCAGATTGCAGTTGGAGTTTGCTAATAGAAGGACTAGCTAAAGGCGTCACTGCAGGAATTACAAACTGAAGAGGACTCTGTTGGACTGTTTTTCTTTTCTTTTTTTTTTTAAGAAAAACTCCATTTTTTTTTTCTTGAGGACTTAGTAGCCAAAATTTCTCAAACTTCGAGGACTCTACTAGCCATGGCCGAGCCATTCTTGTCAGAATATCAACACCAGCCTCAAACTAGCAACTGTACAGGTGCTGCTGCTGTCCAGGAAGAGCCGAACCCTGAGCGCCCCCCAGGCGCGGAGGAGCGGGTGCCCGAGGACGACAGTAGGTGGCAATCGAGAGCGTTCCCCCAGTTGGGTGGCCGTCCGGGGCCGGAGGGGGAAGGGAGCCTGGAGTCCCAACCACCTCCCTTGCAGCCCCAGGCCTGTCCAGAATCTAGCTGCCTGATAAAGGGCGAGAAGGGCCAGAATGGGGACGACTTGTCCGCTGGCGGCGACTTCCCGCCGCCGGCAGAAGGGGAACCGAAGCCCGAGGCCGAGCTGCTCGCCCAGCCTTGTCATGACTCCGAGGCCAGTAAGTTGGGGGCTCCTGCCGCAGGGGGCGAAGAGGAGTGGGGACAGCAGCAGAGACAGCTGGGCAAGAAAAAACATAGGAGACGCCCGTCCAAGAAGAAGCGGCATTGGAAACCATACTACAAGCTGACCTGGGAGGAGAAGAAAAAGTTCGACGAGAAACAGAGCCTGCGAGCTTCAAGGATCCGAGCCGAGATGTTCGCCAAGGGCCAGCCGGTCGCGCCCTATAACACCACGCAGTTCCTCATGGATGATCACGACCAGGAGGAGCCGGATCTCAAAACCGGCCTGTACTCCAAGCGGGCCGCCGCCAAATCCGACGACACCAGCGATGACGACTTCATGGAAGAAGGGGGTGAGGAGGATGGGGGCAGCGATGGGATGGGAGGGGACGGCAGCGAGTTTCTGCAGCGGGACTTCTCGGAGACATACGAGCGGTACCACACGGAGAGCCTGCAGAACATGAGCAAGCAGGAGCTCATCAAGGAGTACCTGGAGCTGGAGAAGTGCCTCTCGCGCATGGAGGACGAGAACAACCGGCTGCGGCTGGAGAGCAAGCGGCTGGGCGGCGACGACGCGCGTGTGCGGGAGCTGGAGCTGGAGCTGGACCGGCTGCGCGCCGAGAACCTCCAGCTGCTGACCGAGAACGAACTGCACCGGCAGCAGGAGCGAGCGCCGCTTTCCAAGTTTGGAGACTAGACTGAAACTTTTTGGGGGAGGGGGCAAAGGGGACTTTTTACAGTGATGGAATGTAACATTATATACATGTGTATATAAGACAGTGGACCTTTTTATGACACATAATCAGAAGAGAAATCCCCCTGGCTTTGGTTGGTTTCGTAAATTTAGCTATATGTAGCTTGCGTGCTTTCTCCTGTTCTTTTAATTATGTGAAACTGAAGAACTGCTTTTCTTGTTTTCCTTTTTAGAAGATTTTTTCCTTAATGTGAAAGTAATTTGACCAAGTTATAATGCATTTTTGTTTTTAACAAATCCCCTCCTTAAACGGAGCTATAAGGTGGCCAAATCTGAGAACAATTAAATTCATTTTAGTTATAATAAATTTAATATTTGTAAATGTAACATAGTTTCAGTGTGATTTCTAGAGCTAATTCAAAATAGTATTATTTTATGTGATTGCATTTTTGGGGAGGGGTACCGAAATCGTTAAATTTGTCAGTTTGCAAAAATATCAGTCTTTAATGGGAGAATTTTCAATTTGCCAATTTTTTCCTTGAATGGGTTTGGGTTTAAGTATGCTACAATACACAGTTCAGGCAAAATATAAAGATTTAATTATCTTCAATACTTAAGTGTGCTTGCTTTCTAGTGCCTTGGTTTTCTTTCTTGATGCTGGAAAAATAAACCGGTGTTCAGTGTTTAGGTGACTGAAAAGTGGCTACAATCCAAAATTTTAAATTTAAGTCTGCCTCGGCCATTCAAAAGTCTAATAACAAAAAATGTAAACCTAATTTGACAGTTTGTTACGTTAGACAACTGTCAGCATTTCATTCCTACAAGTTGGTTTTCAGTGATCTCTTCCATCCCCCCAGTAGGGCTGGAAGAAGTTCCTGGATGCCTGAAAGAGGCTCTTAGCAAACTTCTTAGTGCAAGCAATGGTTAGATTAATTTGTGGGGCAGCTCTTTAAGACATTCAGAGGTGGGAAATACTGGATTTATAAAGGAAATGGCTGTTTGGGGGATTCCAAGGACTTACCCTAATTGTCCAATACTACGTGCTCTGTATACAAAAAAAAAAAAAAAAAGGAATAGGAGCTATCCACCTTTCCATGTGGGTCAAACTAAAATTAGAAATGTCCCCTCACTGCAGATCAAATGTAAAGCTTCCAGTTAAGGAGCTAAATGAGGTCCTCAGCTGAATGAGGAACCCTGTACATTTCCTTGAACAGCCCTATTCTAAATCGCCTAAACTATGCTGATAGCTGCTTAGGTTCTTGAGTAGTTCTGCTCTTAAATGTAGGGAGGCCCTGAGAACTAATTTTTGCCCCAAAATAAAAATAGAAAGAAATTATGAGATTATTCCCTCCTGTCACTTTGGTTAACCCAGTCCTTCACCTGCCCTGTGTCAGTGTTTCCTGAGGGCAACTGCGTTGCTCAAATCACTAACACAGAGGTTCCTTAACTTGGGGCCTTAGAAACCATTGTGGGCCTTGGGGTCCATGAACCCCATGAAATTATTTGTAGACTTGTGTTATATGTACATTTTTCTGGGGAGAAGGTTCAAGAGATTCATAAGATTCTTAAACTCCTTGAAGGTTCAGAACCCCTGCAGGGAAGGGGGAAGAAAACCCTCCCATTAGGAAGCATGCTTTTGCAGTTAAATGGCGGTGATTGAGGTGATAGGGACTTCAAAAGTAAAATGCACCTTGTGATGCATAAGAAGCATACACAAATCAATAAATCAAGGGAGATTACACCAGTAGGACTAAATCAGGGCCTTCAAAGCTGGACTGAGTTGGTCCTGTTCTGGCACATATGGTCCACTGGAGACAATGTATGATTGTGTTTTTCTTTGGCCTAAAAATTATATTAAACATTTATTTTGAAATAGTTTTCTTCGTGTTTTTAATTTTTCTTCTGCTATGACGTCATGCAGCAGCCCCAGAAAAACAGCTGCTTGGAAAGGCAGCAACAGTGCCCTCTGGCTTTACAGTGCAGAGCTGAAGGCTCATTTTGACTTAATTGTAAGATGCAGTAGTGATTATCTCTGATATAAGACCCTCTTTTTTTTTTTGAGATGGAGTTTCGCTCTTGTTGCCCAGGCTGGAGTGCAATGGCATGATCACCGCAACCTCCGCCTCCCAGGTTCAAGCGATTCTCCTGCCTCAGCCTCCCTAGTAGCTGGGATTACAGGCATGTGCCACCACGCCTGGCTAATTTTGTATTTTTAGTAGAGACGTGGTTTCCCCATGTTGGTCAGGCTGGTCTCGAACCCCGACCTCAAGTGATCTGCCCGCCTCGGCCTCCCAAAATGCTGGGATTACAGGCATGAGCCACTGCGCCTGGCTAAGACCCTCTTCTTAAAGAAGGATTCATCTATGAAAATCTTGTTTCCCCTACTATTAGAAAAATATTTACAAAATGAATCTTGGAAAGACTATAAATGCATTTATCATCAGAAAAAGTATGTTTTAGAAGACAAATTCAGTCCAGTCTTCAAATATACAAATATCTAGGCTGGGCCCAGGGGCTCATGCCTGTAATCCCAGCACTTTGGAAGGCTGAGGTGGGCAGATCACCTGAGGTCGGGAGTTAGAGACCAGCCTGACCAACATACAGAAACCCCATCTCTACTAAAAATACAAAAATTAGCCAGAGGCGGAACCCGGGAGGCGGAGCTGCAGTGAGCCGAGATTCTGCCACTGCACTCCAGCCTGGGTGATACAGCGAGACTCTGTCTCAAAAAAAAAAAAAAATTAGCTGGGCATGGTGGTGGGTGCCTGTAATCCCAGCTACTCGGGAGTCTGAGGCAGGAGAATCACTTGAATTGGGAGGCAAAGGTTGCTATGAGCTGACATCATGCCACATTGCACTCCAGTCTAGGCAGCAGCAAGTAAGATTCTGTCTCAAAAAAAAAAAAGCTTTTTTTTTTTTTTTTTTTTTTTTT